CCCAACGACGGAGAAGGCGGCACGACAGAAGAATCAGAAGCCTACTTGCTGGGCAAGCGGCGTATTGACAATCTTATCAAGGGCACAGAGCATAAGAAGTTGGAGAAAGATGCAGGGGCGGAGAGCTTCATGGCGCTGCAGAATGCGAATACTGCGAGGGATACAGCTGCAAAGATTCGCGACGATCCGTTGCTGGCTATCAAGCGACAAGAACAAGCTGCCTACGAAGCTATGATGAACGACCCGATCAAGCGCCGACAATTACTATCGTCGAGGGGAGTTGACGATGAGAAGAAGAAGGAAAAGTCACGGAGGAAAGAAGACCGACACGACAAACACAGAAGGAGGCATCGTCATCGCAGCGCGGATCCTGATGATAGACACCACAGACGACGGCGCTCTGATTCGCGATCGCGAAGCCCACGACGTCGCGATGATTCAAAAGAGGATCGGCACAGGCGACGCAGAGACGATAGTCGAGAAGATCGTTCGCGACGAAGACGTGATGATTCAGAGGGCAGAGAACATAGACGTGAGCACCGCTCACGCCATGAACGACCACGTGATGAGCGCCCCCGCGAAAGTCGAAGGGATTTCCGAAGAAGCTACCCCGATTCTCGCGACAGGCGACCACGATACAACGAAGAAGACGATAATGCCAAGGAGGAAGAGCGTCAGCGCAAGTTAGCCGCCATGCAGTCTGCAGCAACAGAGCTGGACGAAGATCGCTTAAAGCGTCTCAAGGCAGTGGAGGAAGAGGAGGCAGCACGTCGAGAAGCAGATGACAAGGCTCGAGAGCGCGGAGGTGATCGCGGCTTCGTGAATAAGCTACATCAACAAGCAAACTACAAGGGCCTTGCGGACCGTATGGGCGGATCGCGTCGTGGATATGAACGGGAGGAAGATTAGAAATGGATTCTACAATGGGCGGCCTCTGCTGAATTACACATTTACGTTTTGAACGACATGGTTAGATTGGACTGTCAGGTTGAGATATCGGCATACACCGACTCAAGGTTTTAATAGAAACAAGTCTCTTGCCCAATATTGAACAAGCTGGCTTTTTCAGTGTTGCAATATCGCCTCTTCCGCGTGATACCTACTTGTAGTACCTCGGCGGGCGGAAAATAAACGAAGCCACTCTGATGTTACGATTCAGTCGCAAAGCCACCATGAATCGTCACTGCACCCAACTCAACTCAAATTCAGGTACAAGTTTCAGGTACCGCTTCTCTCTCATGCACAGAACCCGACATGATTAGTTATTCGCAAATGATTTGCGACGTAGCATCGAGTGTCATCGCTAAAGACTATCGAATTAAAGGCTCGGAGCTTAGCCTCAACCCTCTTTGGCGCATTCGACGAACCGGGACTTTAAAAGAGGCAATCTTGGTAGCGATGGGCGAAAGAGCCAATTAACGTGACGGGTCGACGCTACTGCAAGAAGAAGAGAAAGTGGTTCCACAGGATGTGCAGAAAAAAAGGGGACATATTTAAAGAGGAACAGAAATACGCCCTGTAACTTACACTGATCGTTAGGGGGCTTTTTTGTCACGTGGGTGCATATCCCTCGTCAAGAGGCGCCGAAAATAATCCCTGCCCGCTTTCCTCGCTGTCGACTCCACTGCGAGTGAGGACCCAAGGCCTAGAGTTCCACTGCCCCCCATTTTCCCTTGCGCTGGCCTCTCTCTGACCTCAACTTCCATTCCATTTCACAACCTTGCATCTCTATTCCTCTCTCGCGAACCCCGAAAAAACGACCATTCATTGCCCAACCCCTACACTCAACGGGATCAATTCGCCTTGCCGTCTATCGATATCTACCAACGGTTTCTTTCTCGCCTGTGAATTCGATCTGCGCACGCCAGGGCCCTGCACGGAACCGAGATTCAACGTATTTCAAACGACGCGAAAAACCACAACGGTCTTTTCCTTTTTCTTTCACACACTACGGAGTAACTACGATTTGATATCACACTTTTGTCAGAATGCCTGCTCTTTGTGGAGGATCCAAAACTGTGCAGCGAAAGCTGGTGTTGCTGTGCGTAACATACGATGAGAGATGGGAGGGCATTGCGCTGATCTGATTTAGGGGTGATGGTGCTTGTGGAAAAACATCGCTGTTGAACGTCTTTACGAGAGGGTATGTTTTGGAAGAGGTGCCCATGAGGAGAGAGGCTCATTGATTATAGCTACTTCCCTACTGTCTACGAACCCACTGTCTTTGAGAACTACGTCCACGGTACGAGACTCGGTTCAACTGCGTACACGCATCGCTAACGAACGCAGACATCTTTGTCGATAACGTGCACATCGAGCTATCCCTCTGGGACACAGCAGGCCAGGAAGAATTCGACCGACTACGCTCCCTATCCTACGGTATACACCTCCCGACACCTACTAACTCAACTCCAACTAAACTAACACTCTGCAGACGACACAGATCTCATCATGCTCTGCTATTCCGTCGACAGCAAAGACTCGCTCGAAAACGTCGAATCCAAGTGGGTAGGCGAGATCGCCGACAACTGCCCCGGCACCAAACTCGTCCTCGTAGCACTAAAGTGCGACCTCCGCGAGCAAGGCGAGGAAGAGGAGAACGAATCAGGCGAGCCCCGCGAGAAGCGCCCCATGATCAACTACGACCAGGGCCTCGAGGTGGCGCGCCGCATAAATGCCCTCCGGTACCTCGAGTGCTCCGCCATGAAGAACAGAGGAGTCAACGAGGCCTTCACCGAGGCGGCGCGTGTTGCGCTCAGCGTCAAGAAGGACCGTGAGGAGGGCGGATGCACGGTTATGTGAACATGATACGATACGAGCGTTTATTAATATCGAATACGAAGAGACCCTACCTGTCATCCCCGTCGAATGTGATCGAACAAAAGCAGGGATGTGGACCTCTATTCGGCTACTATGGTTTATTTTTGGCCCGTTATGGGTATCTTTCACTGTATATATCGTGCGGCATAAAGCACATAGGGAAATATGGTGTTCTGCGTTGTTTTTCTGCCATTTACTACTTACAGGCTATTTTCACTCGGGAATGCGAGGTAAATTAGCGGGAGGAGTAGACTACTTGAGGAAGTCATCTGATCACGCTCTAGCTACAAGAACTTTATTTATTGTTTCAACCGATTATCACACCTCACGACAATTGTTCTGTCTTATTAATTGCTCATTTAGCGCGTTTCCTTATGAGGTGATTCTGATTCTAGCTGGTGAAACCAATGTACGCAATGTGCCGAGACTTTGAGGGGCAAAAGTGCACAGCCACGCTGATGAGCCATCACGATGAGATATCAACAGAGAGTGAGGCCAAGCATTGAAAAGAAGATGGACCGTAGATCATTTGGTCCACAGAGATCATAGGCTACTGTATAAGATTGATGATGACAGTTCAATTAAGTTGCGGAGTGTAACCGTTGATAAACTCTAAACCCTGCAACGTCAACCCTTGGAATTCTTCACATCTTGGCAAACGTGTTAGTCTACATTCCATTCAGGGACCCCCCTCAAAGATGGTATGATATCAGAGGCATCATATTACAACTGATCATCTTTCTTACACCAATAATTTTCACTCTTGATGCTCTGAATGCCATCACCGTCTACGCCACTGATACCGTCATCTCTGCTTCGTGATTGGCTGGACCCTTGCTACCCTGCGCGCATGCATTGACGTCACGGTAATAAAGCAGGTTTGAAGCTTGGGCGATCGTAGTTGGGAATGGCATCACTGGTAGGGATGCGAGATGGTAGAAATAGAGGCCAAGAGACGCCTAGATTTGTGAAAAGCTTCTTTTTTATTCTCCAGATTATTCCTTTTTCACTAACACTGATCACTTACACGATATCCACTGCCACTTACACGGTACCACTTACACACGCTACACTACACTACTCCTAAGTCATCATATAAATCATCATCATGGGTCTCTTTGGTCGTCGTGAACCCTCCCCAGAGCCCATCCGCGAGGAACCCCCCCGCAAGCACGGCCTCTTCTCCTCCTCATCCCGCCACGAGCCCACCTCCACACGAACATCCACATCCTCCCACCACCGTCACTCCCGCGGCTCAGCCTCCTCCTACGACCGTCGACACTCCCGCTCATCATCCCGCTCCCCATCTCGCCGTACCTCCAACGGCGGCGGCTTATTGTCTCGTCTAGGCGGAAACCGCAACGAGCACGACCCTGCTGTTCTTGAAGCTAGAGAGCGAGTGCAGGATGCTGAGAGGGCGGAGCGCGAGGCTGATCGTGCGCTGGAAGAGGCGAGATTGAGTGTGAGGGAGGCGAGGGAGCATGTTAAGAGGTTGGAGGTTGAGGCGAAGGAGGATTCGAGGAGGGCTAAGGTTAAGCAGACTCAGGCTAAGGAGATGTCTAAGATGGGACGGTCTCTTGGACGTAAGTATTCTTGGTTGATATATGATTGAATTTGACGCTGACAGAGAGATAGGTCACGGATACTAAAAATCCACCAAAATAACAGAGCACTGGAGTCGTTGGAGTGTACGAGTAATCTTGTTCTGTATCATGACTGTATGAGAAGAGAAGCAAACGTATACGATAGAGTTATCAAGGAGTTACGAAGTAGCGTTGTAGTTTGAGCAGTTCGTCTTTGAATACAATTTCGCGTTGATAACGCTCCACGTTGAAAACATTGACCAGTAGACATTGGCATTATCGCGATATCCTTCTAAACAGTTCTATTCTTACAAACTCTCACACCACTGTTGAGGACTAGCTATCTGTGTCGCCTGAAACGTCTTGTCCATAACCATCCCAGATCGCCGTACAATTTTGGCGCCATTCTGACGACAGGGCCATAGGACAGATTCAGTAAAAAGATCTCACTGCATATCCCCCTTTATGCAGTATTATGGGCCTATTGCTCTCCTCCCAAGACCATCTGACTTCTCATAAACCAACAAAGAAGCATGCCACAATCATGCAGACAAGGATATACATCCACACCTCAGATTCAGGAAGATCTCCATTGTCCTATGATTGGTGTTCCGCTTCATCTTCTGGGACGGCCACTTCCCGCGGCTCGTTTGGTTCCTCTGTCGGTGGCTCAATAACTTCTTCTCGAGCTGGTGGGAGGACGGCTTCCCCTCCATCTTCCATGGCTGTTGCATCCACGACGATAACCTCCTCTGTTTCCATTTCCTCAGCGCGGGTTACACCATCCAAGGGTCTATGGTTGGTACCCCCTACTGGTGCTCCGCACTCGGGGCAGCGAGCAACCTCCGTGGGCATCCCGCAGTCTCCAACTGCAAACTAGATAGATCAATCTGATTAGCGATGACCGTACTCAACAGGAAGGAAAGCTACAAGCTAGAACTCACAGGATGTCCATTAACGCAATTGTACCAATATCCAGAGTTGGTCGCCATACCCTGGGTTCCACTGACCATGGCTGACTTGATTGATGCCAGCTCTCCGGGAGTAATTTCTTCGTGCCGAGTATGAAAGAGCTCTATGTGATCTTGGACCTTTTGTTTCAGCTTCTCACCGTCTCGAAGATCGGAGCACAGAAGCAGAGCGGCATCCAGGAGTTCGCACGCAATCTTGGTCTGTTCTTCAGCAGCGATGATGTCGAGCATGTACTCATTGCTGCCATGTGCATTCTGGGCCACTTCATAATGGTATATCAGACGGGCGATCTTAGCAAACGACAGAGTTCCTGAGATGACAACTCGCGGTAGTTTCAGGTCGTTGGCTTCTTTGATCAAGTTTGCGAAGTCGTTGAGGAAGCTGGGCAATGCTGGAAACGACTGACTTTCCATCCAGCTTGCCAATGACTGGTGGGGAGAAATCGCCAGTCCATCACGCAGGTGCAACTCTTGAGCTTGAATGTGAATGAGGCGGGCTCTCAGTGCAACTTGCTTCCATGGAACACCTTGCATGTATGTCGAAGTCTCCAGCTGGACTTCGTCAGTAGATGAATCAAAGGTCAGGGCTTGAGACGCCTCAATAGCATCGGCTGATATTGCGCTTCGCTGGATTTCTTGCCCAATTCTGGCTCCAAGGGTTTTCCCCATTCCTTGGAGCTCTTTGAGAACAGAATGTCTCTCCTGTGTCCGGTGCGGACTCATATATTGAATTTCCCTCAGGAAGGATGACCGTGTCGTCGTAAGATCATCCTCGACAGATTGCAGCTTTTCCTCGAGGCGCTGAATCTCATCGTGCTGCTCAGTGAGAAATCGTCGATGGTTCTCATCTTTGAGAGCTTGTTTAATAAGCCGGCCATATCGTTTTGTGGCGTGTGGGTGAATAGGCTGCTTGCAGTGTGGACAAACAGGCGTCTTTGTCGTGAAGCAGCTTGACACCTCTTTCCAGCCGACATACTCGTCCTCCTGCCCTCTCAGACGAGCCTCATCCAGGCCTACCAGACCATCAAGAGTCTCGCCAGTGAAGAAGTGGCCGCAACCAAGCACTACAATCGGATTTTCGTCAAGGTTGATCTCGCTAAAAGTTCGAAACTCCAGCAAGTCGACTTCCTCTGATTTCTTGGGGCTGCACTCTTGACAATATTCAACGGGGCAATCTTCTCCGCAGAAGCTTGGGCATTGGTGGCCACAATTACGAATCTTGTCACATCTCTTATTGCAAGGGGGTCGATCGCAAGGAGCTGAGCAAGGCATCTGACAGGTCCCTTGATGAGGACAAGTCCAAGTACAATCTTCGACGCATGGGCTACAAATCTCATCGCCACTGGTGTGTGGGCATCTAACCTAAGGAACATTCAGTCAGTCGGATCACAGGTTGGAGTTATGTACTTACTTCGCAAAGTTGTTCACAGCTCCCACATGGAGTTGTTCCATGGCATGTCTTTGAACACCTGTGATTGCAGGAAGCGAAGGAGCGAGCGCAAATCGCATTGCAAACCGAATGTCTATTCATCATACATTTGTAGCACTTTCCCGTGCAGGCATGACCACAGATCAATTTCTGATCGCAAGAATGAGAGCAAAGTAAGTTCACCGTAATCGCATCCCAGAAGCATTCGGTTTCAATTTCGTGGCCGCATCCAGGGACCGTTCTTTGAACTTTGGCTTCGCAGATAATTGAAGACAAATGCGAGGTTTCGTGGCATATCAGGGACTCTTTGACATGGCCACAGGGAAGTTCAACGTTGTAGACGGTTACCATGCAGGGACCACAGGTTTCATTGCAAAGTTTTGGGCACTCATGACCGCATGTTTCTCGGATGCGGGAGCAAGGCATATTACAAGACATGGACTGATGCATAGCCTCTGAATGGCACTTCTCCGGACACTTGTGGCCGCAAGGTTCCAAGTTCCAGCTGCATGGGTCATCACACCCACCTTGAGGACTCATGAGATCGAAGTGTTCTGGACGGTAGCACTGCATGATAGCATCTGGATGTCGATGGCAGCGTAAGTCAAACGTGTTGCCAATGGCCGCAATACTTGAAAGCTTGGAGTAGACATCTTCCCACCCAGGGTCCGAGCGATATGAATCAAAGTCTCCAATCAGATACATCCCATGTTTGGCCCGGCTCAAAAGAACGTTGATCCAGTTGGCCGTCATAACAACTCCTGTATTGCGCCGCGGGTTATGACGTGTCATAGATATGATGACAACCTTTGCTTCTTCTCCTTGGAACTTATCCAATGTCGCTAGCCGCAAGGCTGTGTTCAATGGCCTCTTTTTCGTGACTTTGTGCCCAGCTTTGCCAAGCATAGATATCTCAAGCTCTTCACCGAGAGCGTGGTTCAGTTGTCTTAGCTGGCCATTATACGGAGTGAGGAGGGCTAAATCTCGAGGTTTGTATTCCCCTTGTCGCACCAGATGCCGGACGATTCTTGTCACCATTTTGACCTCCCACTCAGTGGTATATGATGTGCCACGCAGACCTCCCTCAAATTTCTTGTGGTCAAGCCAAAAAACGTTGCGTCGCATGCCGACAACGTTTGGGAAATCCCGAACACTAGGGTGGTCTTGAAGCTCAGGATACGAGCTATTGATGAGCTGGGAGATCTCAGGTCTCATTCTTCGTTGTACGTTGAGCTGTACGAATGGAACAGGAGAAAGACCAGGCTCACCCGCTGCGCGTCTCTCGAACTGGCTTCGGTCCAGTTGCCACTTTTTCTCGGAGTCGTTGTCAACTCCCAGCTTGCAGTTTGCGATTTGCGGGCGAAGTTGCTTCTCATCTCCAATCTGGATCAAGTGCTCGATTCCGGGTATTATAGAGGAGATCAAATGCGGTTCCATCACCTCAGCTGCCTCCTCATATATCATCACCTTTGGCGATACGCGCTGTAGCAAATCCGAGTTCCTTGCGGCTGCCGAGGTAGTGACTCCAATAACTTGAGCTTGCGCGAGGACCCTTTGACTGACGGATTCACAAACATCATTGCGTTGCTTGCAAAGACGCTCCAGTTTTCTCACAGTCTCGAAAGCAGCATCGACTTTCCTTTCACGCCATTCTTCAGTCCAGTGATCTACAAGAGCCCCTTGCTCCGCCGATGAGAGATCATGGATATCTTTCTCAGCCCGTATGTTTAGTTCTTCCATGCTTTGTTTGATGGATTTAGTGCTTGATGGCCACATATCCCTGAGCTCTGCCCTCAAAAAACTCTTCGTTGTAGCCTGGATGGTGTCCTCCGAAACAAGCTGTCGATGGACGTTTGGTCTGGTTTCAGAAAGAAAGTCTACAAAACCACGATCTTTTGTTTCTTGGTCTGTTTCGAGTAAAGCATCAAAAGGGCCTTTACTAGTGAGACCGCACAGATCTTTGCCGAGTCTTTCCACACGAGTATTTTCAAATTGTGTATCATGACATCTGTATTTGCGTGTTCGAAGTGTGTGGTCGGAGAGTTCCGGCGCGACATTGTTACGACCAATTCGAACAATTTGGTCGACCCCAGCATCGAGAAGCTGTTTAAGGAATTGATCCAAGGCTTCGTTCGTATAACACCTGAAGATTTGTCAACCAAACAGCCAAAAGGGAGGACGGTAACCAAAATAACTTACGAGATAATGAGTGGGCCGAGCTTCGCTTGCTTTTGAACAGCCAGCAAAACTCGCACGAGTTGAACACCGAGATGCGACTTTCCTGTTCCCGGTGGGCCTTGAATGAGGGCATACTCTCTAGTCAGAGCAGCAACAAGCCCTTGACATTGACTATTGTCCAGTCCTGTCTGAGCCTCCAGGTCAGAAAGACTAATGCCCTCAAATCCGTAATACGGATCTAGCTGGAGTCCAGAATCCTTGTTTTTGGCTATGCAGCCCATAGGGAACACGAAACCTTTCTGGCGTACATAAAGTGGCGGTGGGATGTCGTTCTGAGTGTGCTCGGCGGGGACCATCCATTTGTGAAGAGGTATGTGATTGTCGAGCCTGATTCTCTTCAACCTGTCGATCATGGGCATCAATGTTGAAGTGTAGACGCTACTAAATTGAACCAGAAAACCTCGAGCTTTGCTCTCATACAGGCGGGTTAGCTGGCTCAGCGAGTTGCGGTCCGGAGTAACGAGGTGGACAAGTATTCTTGGAGATTTGTCACTGGAGACAAGACAATCATATTTGCCCGTTATTATCTTGTCGCTCGCCTGAAAGAATAGGAGCTCTTTACGATCCTTTTGATAAGGAACAAAACATAAAAGCTTCCGTTCTTCCAACATGTCGGAATGCTTCCACCACTTTTCTTTCTCCTGGATTGACATGCCAGAAATGTGTTTAGGGGTATCGAATGGAAGGACTGCGCTTAGGCCACGCTTGGGACTCAAAGAGATGTGATGGACATAACATCCATGGAGCATATGAACATCGAACTCTTTGTCATAAAAGTTGCCCGTTATGTCCGTGTCGGGTCTGCAAAAGCTTCGAATAGCCTCTATGATCGGACCCATAGCATCGTGTCTGAGAAGTCTAAAATGAGAGTCGACATGTCGCTGCAACGGATCTCTAAGCGCATGGGGATGACTGAAGTTGGTCGACGGTAGGTATTCGTCGCTCTCACTGTTGATCTCTCCCAAGGTTGGAAGAATGGCGATATCCGAGATATCCGCGAAGTCGTTGTCATGTCGCCCCCCTGGCCTTTCTATGGTCGTAAGAGCTGAAGCCAAGGAATCCAATTTTCGCTGTTCTTCGCCAAGATGCGTCTTTGAACTAGCTGCCAGTCTTTTCATGATGTATAAGCTGCGAGTGATTTCTTCCAAGCCGTCATTTGGGAAGCTCTCGCACACCTTGGCAACGAGGTTGTCGAGATATTCCAGGAAACTAGGACTCTTGGTCCCAGAAAGTGATTGAGGAACTCTGCGCAACAGCTCATGGCCGGCTCTCGCGATACACAAAACATACTGATACAGTTGCGGATAGAGAGGACCGGCACAGTTCTCAAGGGACTCTAGTATTTCAGTACATAGATAAGACAAAATGTTCATTGGACCACGTCCACCCTTACGATCGAAGGGAGGATAGATGGCGTTAGAGTAGATGGCTTTGACGGTCATCTCGATGCTTGAGTCGTTTAGTAAAGAGGTATGAGTAATGACTTCGAGAAATTTCATGACCACGAGCCTGCCAATGCTATTCGGAAGGGATCCTTTCGTGACTGTTACCATGATGAAATCGCGGCCGTACTTTCTGTCAGACAAAAACATTGCCATTCTTTGGCGAAGAATAGGATAGGAGCTATCCAAGATGTCTAGTGCGGTCTCCCAGGTGGTTAGGGCAGCCTGAGGGTCTCGGCAGGGCGAAGAGTCGTTGTCAATACTGACCTCCAACGAAGCTCTGAACTGATTGAGGCGAGCGCTGGCATTAGTTGTAGGCTGTCGAAGATAAACAGTTTCCGGATCATGGATTAGTTGGCAATCTCTTCTGCATCCAAATCCCTTTTGAAAGACTTTACATATCGCTTTCCTTGCTTCTTTCACTGCCACGTCGCCTCCAGGTCGGTTGCCTGGGGACGCCATGGCACGCAGAGTTGGACGAACAATCAAGTCGATACGCTGGGTGATTGGCGGCAAAGCTTGAGATAGATATGGTGATGATGCTGATCAAATTAATCCCAAGAGAAGTCGATGTGGCGCTCGATGGGAAGGTGAAGGTGTTGGGAATGAGCTGAGGTGGAGGAGAGGAGAGGAGGTGCTTGGAGATGAGCCGATCGCGGCGGAGCAGTAATCCAGTGTTTTCCAATCAGTGTTTAAGATATCTGTAGCGCTTTGTTGCTGATATGGGTCGGATTCTTGCTCCAGGAATGACGCAGTGTTAGCTGAGTTGCCGGCCACCTGCAGTGCCAGAGTCGGCAAGCTGCGCCTGGTGATAGTAAGGACACAAGCATTTGCCCTATAGTGAGAAACATTACAACTACCTTGCATATCTGAAATCAAAGCGGCCGGCCAGTGGGAAGGGGAAACTGTTTGCCATACCTATCCGTGACTGTGTCGTCGTTGATGGTGTTTTCATTGCCGCATCCCGTTCCAACAGCTTTGCGATCCTCCAGGCACGAAGCAGATGCCCTTTCACATCTGATCACCTTTCACAGATCCTTGACGCAAATGCGAGAATGCAGTAATATGGGAGGCTTTGAAAATATGGTAAATAACAAGTTCATAGGGTTTGTTGATTCCTTGCCTTTGTGGCCGTGAATCACTATAGGCAATCAGATGCTCTTGCCTTTCGACGGAATACTTCAGAGCCCACAAAAGAAGGTAGGTACCTAATTTTATTTTAGCTTTCTATCACTCATGTCGTTCAGGGAACCAATTATACCAGATAGAATTGAAACTGGAAACGACTCTATTTCAAGAGGTGTTCTCGAAGTCAAATGTCCACCCTATTAGCGTCGCGATTCGTGTTAACATGTCAGCAATCAGCTATGAAATCACCGTAAGAGACCAATTTTTAGATATTGGCTGTAGAGAAAACGCATTAGACTCGTAGGATAATCTTCAAGGACCTCAGTGTTTCTCAAATACTCCAAATGGTCCTTTCACGCCGTCCCATTCATGAACCATTGTCGCAAGTTGTCCAAATCAAGCCTCACCCTACACCTTCAAGGGGATGCAATAAAACTTAGGACCTCTATCCTAGGTGACAAAAGGCCTTAGGGAAGTTTAGGTAAACTTAGTGTAATTTAGTATAGATTTAGAGGATCTTAGACCAAGTATTTTTGGCACCTCAGTTTAGTGTCAGAGTGACCTTCTAGCGCGGCGCCAGGTCCCGTCTCACGTCAGAATCTTAACGACGATCAATCCCATCAGCAATTACTCCATCAGGAAATAATCACAGTACCAAAGCGCCAAATACTCAAGCCTCACCACCAACATCAACCATGAAAAGGAAAGTTACACAAGATGCGTCACCCCCTCTCGCGCCTTATCAATCAACCACCCGAAATGACGCAACCACTCCTCGCGCTTCGGATGTATTTCAATGCCGATGGTGCAATATTGCGAAATGCCGATATGAATTAATAATGCAGCGTGTCGCTGTCTCCTTCCGACTTTCCGCACAGAGAGGGAAATGGCGGGGTTGTTTACTACAAGACTTGCAATAAGTCCTGCTTGGAATTTGTTCTTTTCATACAACTTGACCAAACAAATTACTACTACTCGGCATATCAGCACGGCTATCAAGATGGGCTCTCAACCTCAAGCAGATACCACCCTCTACACCAACCACGCGTGCCCTTGTGTGTACATATCATATCGTCCAAGAGAACTCCGCTGACAACCCCCGCAGTCGCGCACAGGGCACACATCACCCTCGCCGAACTTGGTCTCCCCTTCAATGAGCATATCATTGATCTTAGCACGCCCCGAACCCCAGAGTACCTGCAGATCAACCCGCGTGGCCTCGTCCCAACCATCATCTACAACGGCGAGACCATCACCGAGTCCGCCATCGTAGCTCAGTTCCTCGCCGATGCGTATCCCAGCCATCTCCTCCCCGCGTCGACGGACAAGAACGGCCCGTTGACCAGAGCGAGGGTGGCCTTCTTCGCTGATGCGTACTCGAGCAAGGTTCAGGCGCATATCGGCAAGGCTATCTACAGGGCCCAGACGGAGGATGAGGTTAATCAGGCTGTGGACGACGCCGTTGCTGGTATTGTGAAGGAGGTTGAGCCTCTTCTGAAGAATGCGGCGCCTTACTTCAACGGGAGCGATAAGCTCACCTTTGCAGAGGTACCCAATCCAAAGACCAGCGATTGAAATAGGCTGCTAACGAGAAATAGGTCCTTATAGCTCCATTCGTCATTCGGCTGCTATCCTCCGCCAAGCACGGCCTCCTACCAGCCAATCTCCCCTCCCGCCTCGAGCAAGAGACCCCCAACTTTTACAAGTGGGCGCAAGTCGTCAGCAAGCACCCCAGCGTCGTGAAGATCTACGACGAGGACCTAGTCATTGAGGGAAGCAAGAGAGTGAGAGCCAAGTTCGCCAGTAAGGCCTAAGACTAAGATCAAGGTTGGGTGGGCTATGTATAGCCCAAGATAAATGACTGACCACACGACCCTTGCCGTCGCAATGGGGTAGTGTCATCGCAATGCAAGGATCAAAGATTAATGTATCCAAAACTTGAGAAACATGACATGAACTTGATGTTCGGAGCGAACGTTGCGAGAATGAGTGCAAATTGAGTTATCCTTTGACTATGTTATGGTTAACATGAATTCAAAAAGTTTAAACCCGAATATGCAGAGCCTCCCGCTGCATTAGTTAGTTAGTCTACTCCGTAGTCTAGTCCCAATTTCCAGATCTTGCATGCTCGTTCGTTCACCAAGCGCCAATAATTAAAAAGAATCCCACTTCCCGCCCCCCTTTCCCCCTGTCGATCTACACTCACTCACTCACTGTTCCATTTGCCATGCCATGCCATGTTCAAATTTAGCGACAGCTTCTTCTTTCTTTTCTCTCTGGATTTAAATTTCGATTCAGCCAAGATCCTCAAGTGGATATGCCAATTCGTTAGCCCGTCCTATATCCTGGTTCTAATTTCAGCAAAGAAGCCATGAACACACTGATAGAACCCTTGTAAAAAAAAAAGCCCTTCCCGCCCAGGTCTTGGCGCGTCGCATGTCCCCTTGTGCAGTAGGTGACACGCCGGCGCAGTTTGGATAACTTACAGGCCTTCTGAGTGGTCTGAAATTAATTCAAGGCCCGTTCGATCTAGAGGTTTTGGCGATGGCCTCCTGAGAGCCCTGTCATGCTTGGCCTGGCCCAACCTGCGAGAATGGGTCCTCGGTACTGGACTGGTGCTCTTTTGTCTCCTTTTCTGCCGTTTGCCGCTTTTATTCTCTCTCTCTCCATTTTCCTTTTTTCTCTCTCGTTATTTCATGCATGCTCTTTGAGTAGGTAGATCAACAAGTTACTCTTTTCCTTTTGAGTTGTTCTTCTTTCCTTGTCTGTCTGTCTATCTCATATTGCTTGATCCTTGGGTGTTTCATTCGTTTCATCACCCATTCACTCCTTTGATCTCGACAGACTCGACTCACTTTTTCAATCTCATTCATTTTTACCCTCTCTTTTTCATTCGATAGACACTGAAACTCGGGATCAAATCATCATGCTTTCGCGATACATTCTTCCCGCGGCCGCCATCTTCGGCCTCGCGGCTGCTCAGACAACCACGGACTGCAACCCTCTCAACGAAACAGACTGCAAACCCAACCCGGCTTTCGGAACAAGCCATCTCTGGCACTTCAACGACACGCCCTCCAGCGACCACTGGGACAACCACGTCGGACGCGTCACCTACGATGAGAACGACGGCGCTGCCTTTACCGTCGCCAAGCAGGGCGACTCGCCTACTCTGCGCACCGCCTTCTATTTCTTCTTTGGCCGCACCGAACTCCTCATGAAGGCTGCTCCCGGTGTTGGAATCGTCAGCTCCATGATGTGGCTGAGCGACGATCTGGATGAGGTCGACTGGGAGATCCTGGGCGCGAATGACACCCATGCTTCGACGAACTACTACGGAAAGGGTGTTGAGGACTTTACCAAGGCGGGGTGGCACTATGTCAAGGGTGGTATGCAGGAGGATTACCATAACTATACGACGACGTGGACGAAGGACGAGTTGAAGTGGTACATTGATGGAGAGAATGTGCGAACGGTTGTTGCCAAGGATGATATTGATAGCTATCCTCAGACACCCATGAGACTGAGTATTGGAATCTGGGCTGCTGGTGATCCTACAATGCCTGAGGGAACTCGCCAATGGGCCGGTGGTGGTAAGTTGCGTGTCTCTGAAGACACTGAGTTATGCTGACAATTTACAGATACCGACTATGGCAAGGGTCCTTATACCATGCACGTCAAGAGCGTTTACGTCGAAGACGCCAGCACCGGAAAGGAGTACGTCTACGGCGACAAGTCTGGCAGCTGGGAGAGCATCGACATCGTCAAGTAAGCCCCTCCCCATCCCTCGACCTACGACAGTGCAACTCATACTAACCACCAACAGGGGCAACTCAACCGCCTACGAAGCTCTCTACAAAGAACCCGAGAAGACCACCTCCGAGAAATGGGAAGCCCTCCCCGCCGGCACAAAGACAGGAATCTACGCCGGCGGCATCGGCGCCGCAGCCATCGGTCTCGGAGCCCTAGGCTTCTACTTCTGGCGTCAACGCGCCGCGGGTGCCAGCGAGGCCAAGATGGCCGATGACAAGGCCGCTGCCGAGAACCACGATCTCATGTCGTACCGTGCCGGTGAGGATACAACGAACCAGGGTTTCGAGTACAGCGCTGCCAAGTACTCAAAGGTTCCAGCTCAGGATGCTGCTTAGAGTAGACGACGGGTTCAAAAACATAGGGATGTGTTCTTCTTTTTCCCCCAGATATTTCTTATTTTCTCTTTTTTTGTAATGGCATATACACACTTTGTTTGGTTCAAGTTATATACACTGTAGAAAACCTACACAGGAACAGGGATATTTATAGCAGGTTTGGCGTTGATCAATTGAGATGCATTGTAAAGTTACTGAACTTTATTATTAAATCTCCGCGATCGGTTCAGATTGATAATCATGGTCGACGTGGTATTGAACGGATGATCCATACAAGTCCATCACCAAGACAGATGCCGTAGGGCTGTCGTATAGAATTAACAAAACGGGATAGTTCGTGATCCACATGGATTCCCGTTTTGTTCAAGTTAAACGATGCATGATTTGACGTTGGATGGCAAAATGTCAATTGAGTCGTTTCTAGGGCGTATGCGACAGAGACCGTCGCAAACTGCCGATGCAGCTTGAAGACTGTGACAGAAAAGAGTTCTCCTGCATCGGAGCTAAATATTTTAAATATTTCGACAAGTCCAGTTGATCTCGACAACTTGTTCTCTCAACCTCATACAACTCTTTTAGCCCTCAATTAAAGCAAGCAAGCATTCTTTGCCAATTGTCGCCTCATTAGCCATATTCTTCATCTCAGCTGAAGTGTCGTTTTCTCTCGAAGCTGCGAGCGTGCGACACCATCTCATCTCACCCCAACTGAAGCTATTCACAACTCACACTCACACTCGCTCACAATGTCTCTCACTTTCCGCCCCGCAACACCACAGGACGTAACGCCTCTCCGCGCCCTCGTGATGTCCGCCTACCGCGGCCCCGACTCCCGCGCAGGCTGGACAACAGAAGCAGACCTCCTTGAGGACGAGCGCATATCCCCTACAGATCTCCTCGCCAAAATCACAGACCCAAACGGCGCAGTCATCCTCGCATTCACTTCCTCCCCCTCATCGTCCGGAACATCAACACCAGAAGGCGACAGCGATCCCCGTCTCGTGGCATGCTGTGAAGTTGTTCAGAAAGACTCTGAGCGCGCTTACTTTGGCCTCTTCGCCGTGTCGCCGAAACTTCAGGCTGGCGGTATTGGAAAGCAGGTGCTTGCCCATGCGGAGAATTATGCGGTTAGGAATTGGGGAACGAAGATCATGACGATGTGGGTTATCTGGACGAGAAAGGAGCTGATTGAGTGGTATGTTAGACGGGGGTATGTAAAGACGGGGGAGAAGAGTCCGTTTCCATATGAGGGACTTGTTAATGGCAAGGCGTTGAGGGATGACTTGTACTTTGATCACTTAGAAAAGGTGTTGGCATAGACAGATACTGGAGGACAGAGACTAGAAGAGTGAAGAGAGCAGTGAGAATTAGACTAATGAGACATACGATTCACATTTACATCGCAATTTGAAGAAAAGAGTTGGTCAAACAAATCGTCAATCATAGGCTACTCTGTCACGACGCTATATACATTCAAAGACCTTATATGATCATTCCACCTTTTTCTTTGGGTATCTCTGCTTTTATTGACCCTCGACCTGCTTAAGAATGCCCTCAAGGTTAATGCTCTTAGGTCTCTCGATAGGCAGACCCAGAGCCCGGTCCCAGATCAACTGAGCCAGAGGTCCAAGACCACGAGACACACCAAATGTGGCAGTGTAGTACAGCGTCTCGTGGAAGCCATAGTGGTGGAACAGGACGCCGGAGGAGCTGTCGACGTTGGGGTAGGGGTTCTTGGTCTTGCCGTGCTTCTTGAGGACCTCGGGGGCGATGCGGCTGTTCTTCTCGACGAGCTGGAAGACGGGGTCGTTGGCAATCTCGGGGCGTGCGGCGGCGTAGTCCATCAGGGCTTCGAAGCGGGGGTCGGGCTTGCGGAGGACGGCGTGACCGTAGCCGGGGACAACGCGGCCGGAGTTGAGGGTCGACCAGAGATAGTCGTTGACGTCTTGCTCGGTGTAGTTGGCGGGGATGGCTTCCTTCATCTGGATGATCCATCGGAGAACCTCCTGGGCAGCGAGACTGAGATATGTTAGTAAGTATTCACGATTGGCGAGAGAGAGAAGCTTACCCGTGAAGAGGTCCAGCGAGACCCTGGAGACCAGCACTGTAAGACAGGAAAGGATCCGATAGAGCACTTCCAACCAAGTGAGTGGCGTGAGCAGAGACGTTACCACCCTCGTGATCGCCGTGAAGAGCGAGATAGAGTCTCAGAAGATCCTGAAAGTTCTCATTCTCCTTTCCACCCTTTCCAAGCATAGCAGCAAAGTTGTACGACCAATCCTGCTCAAGATCGACCTCAGCTGGCAGAGCGCCACCACCGCGGTAAGCATTCTGGTAGATCTTGGCAGCAATGGTAGGAAGCTTAGCCAACAACGAAATACAATCGTCAAAGGTAGGCTCCCAGTAATCAGCCTTGTTAAGACCCTGCTCATAAGCCTTGGCAAACTTGGACTCGTAGTTGAGCGCAGAAACAGCCATGGCGAACTGTGTCATGGGATGCAGATCCTTAGGGAAGTCATCAAGCATCTTTGAGATGAACTCTGGAATCTGCGCCTTCTCTGCGAGTTCGCGGGAGAATGTGCGGACCTGGTTCACAGAGGGGACCTGGCCGGTGAGGAGGAGCCAGAACATGGCTTCGGGGAGCATCTCAGTTCCCGTCTTTCCCTTGGGGAGCTCCTTTTGGCAATCCTTGATGGTGCGGCCGTGGAAGCGAATGCCCTCGTTGGCATCGAGGACCGAACCCTCCCAGACCATGGCCTTGAGGCCGCGCATGCCACCGAGGGTGTTCTCGACCTTGACCTCGCCGAGGACCTTGTTGGAGTGCGCCTTGACCTTCTTGAGGAGCTCGCGCTTGGCGGGGATGGCCTCGCGCAGAGTGGCCTTGAGATCAGGCTCTGCGGTGGCATAGCCGCGGACACCTGAGAAAGCGGCACGGGTGAGGGGCTGTGAAGCGTGTGAGCTTTTGATCACATGTAAGTTATGTATATAGCTTACCTTGAGGGAGCCCAGAGCCCTGCGGGAGGATGTCAAGTTGAGAGCCATTGTGATGTGTGACGAGGGGTACAGAGAGGATTGGAGTAAGGAAAGAAAGAAAAAAAAATAAGAGGAAGACCAAATATGAAGAGTAGAAGAGATCAAGTATGAGGAGGGAGTTGGGCCGAGGGTTCCCAGTGGTAAACGAGCTGAAGCGGTAGGTGGGGGTGCCTTTGGTTGAATCTGGGGTAACAGCCGGGGGAGCGGGGGCATCCAACGAGAGCTGTTGACGGTGGTTTGCACGTTTATTTTGTCATGCGGGGTTGAGCAGAACTGTTATGACGCAGTGAGTGCGGAGAAGACGACAGCCAGTATCTACAAACATAGCAGTATATATAAATATAGATTAGTAGAACAGATACATCAGGAATCTAGTAAGTATAGTAGACCCCCCATTCAGTATTCAATGACTTAATTTTTCTTCTCTTCTCTTTCAAAGGGTCAGAAGCCAATCCCACGGTTATCATGGCGACTCCAACCGAGGAAACCCGCCATGAACCGACCTGAATGCCACGGCTCAAACATGCATCTCAGCCAATCAGCTTCACGACTGTTTGCCGTACAAGCTCACCCATTGGTCAATTCGTCGGCAATGCTTCTCTTTAACCAAGGCTTTGCTGACATGCCCTCAGGGAGCAAGAAAACACCAGACCTTGATATAGGGTGTCAAAATAAATTTAGTAAAGAGCTCCCTAAGCTTAGGCTAGATTTACCTAAATATTTTTATTGCTTAGGGTCAAGGTCCTGTGTTTTCTTTCCTCCCCTAGCTTGCGATGCGTCTCCAACTTGTAAGCTGCTTTTTTTGTCAAGCATTTATAAGGGCCTTGTCATTTTGGTCTGCTCGGTTACAAAGCTGTTGGTCGGTAACCGGTCGGTCATCGAGTTGGGATTTTATTCTTGTCATGATGGCTCAGCAGTTTGATCAATAAATAAATCAGAGAGTCTAGAGAAACAGCCCTTTCATGTATAAGGAAATTATTATTGCCTGGATTTGATCTTTTCATCTCTTGTCGTGGGCGCTGGCTGGTCTTGTAGCTATCACGGGCTTCAGATCATCATCCGCAAGTGCTCGACTTTATTATTCATCCACTCCGTTATTCCCGATCTATCCACCACCACCACCTCTTTCTTCACATCTTTCTCTCTTCCTCCCTCTCACATCCTCACAACAACACCCAAAATGTTGCGCAGAATATCATCCCGAGCTCCCCAGCGCCTCCTCTCCGCTTCCAAGCCCCGAAGCGTAGCGCCCCTCCTCGCCATCCGCGCCATGTCCACCACCCCCGTCGCAAAGATGTCGCAGCTCAGCACCCACGCTACACAACCCGCCGATGCATTCCAGCTTCTGCCAGAGTCGCAAAAGGCCGGCGAGGCGGAGGACCGGCTGTATGAAGCTACCGTGAAGGAGATTGAGGCGTGGTGGGCGTCGCCGAGATATCAGGGTATCAAGAGGCCGTATAGCGCAGAGGACGTTGCGACCAAGAGGGGCACGCAGAAGGTTCAGTATCCTAGCTCTGTCATGGCGCAGAAGCTGTTTAATCTGATCAAAGAGCGCGTGGCAAAGGGCGAGCCTATTCATACCAGTAAGTCTCCTACGACACTTAAGAAGTGCACGGCTAACGGTCTATAGTGGGCGCAATCGATCCTGTTCAAATGACCCAACAAGCTCCTCACCAAGAAGTCCTCTACATCTCAGGCTGGGCCTGTTCCTCCCTCTTGACCTCTACCAACGAGGTATCCCCCGACTTCGGCGACTACCCCTACAACACCGTTCCCAACCAAGTCCAGCGTCTAGCCAAGGCGCAGAACATGCACGATCGCAAGCAGTGGGATCTTCGTCGCAAGATGACTGCCGAGGAGCGCACAAAGACACCATACGTTGACTACCTCCGCCCTATCATTGCAGACGGTGATACTGGCCATGGTGGTCTGTCTGCTGTTCTTAAGCTCGCTAAGCTGTTCGCCGAGAATGGTGCTGCGGCTGTTCACTTTGAGGATCAGCTCCATGGTGGAAAGAAGTGTGGTCATTTGGCGGGCAAGGTTCTCGTTCCTATCGGAGAGCATATCAACCGCCTTGTTGCTACACGCTTCCAGTGGGATGTCATGGGCTGTGAGAACCTCGTCATTGCTCGAACAGACTCTGAGTCGGGCAAGCTTCTCTCGTCTGCTATTGACGTTCGCGACCACGAGTTCATCCTCGGTGTTTCGGACCCTTCCATTGAACCTCTCGCCGAGACCATCCAGGCTATGGAGGCCAAGGGTGCTGTTGGCGCTGAGATCGATGCTTTTGAAGCTCAGTGGGTCAAGAACACCAAGCTCGTCACCTTTGATGAAGCTGCTGTCGCACACATGAAGAAAGAGGGCGTTTCACAAGGCAAGATCGACGAGTATCTCGCCGAGACTGAGAAGGACCATGACATGGGTATCTCCCGCCGTCGCGGCTTGGCAAATAAGTACACCAAGGAGCCTGTCTACTTCAACTGGGACGTCCCCCGTACCCGGGAAGGTTTCTACCACTACCGCGCTGGTATGCAGGCGGCTACCAAGCGCGCTCTTGCATTCAGCCCCTACGCGGACCTTCTCTGGGTTGAGACGGGTGATCCCAACGTTGAAGTAGCTACCAAGCTAGGCCGCGCTGTTCGCGAGGTCAACCCCGGAAAGGGACTTGTGTACAACCTTTCTCCCTCATTCAACTGGATGGCCCACGGTTTCACTGATGAGACCCTCAAGTCATTCATCTGGGATATTGCCCGTGAAGGCTTCGTTCTTCAGCTCATTTCCCTCGCTGGTCTGCACTCCAACGCTACAATCACGACTGAGCTGTCGCGCGAGTTCAAGAAGGACGGTATGAAGGCGTATGTTGATATCGTGCAACGCCGCGAGAAGGATCTCAAGTGTGATGTTTTGACGCATCAGAAGTGGAGTGGCGCAAGCTACATTGATGGCATTCTGGGTGCTATCCAGAGTGGAAGCTCAAGCAGCAAGAGTATGGGAGAGGGAAACACTGAGGGACAGTTCCATTAGAGGGAGGCTAAGAGAAGGAAAAGCATGAACCGGAGTTTGGGTATTTTTTTTATATTGATGAATACTTTACAAATGATATTGTATATGACCAGCCAGGTTCATCCTCGCAAGTGACTGTCGGCACGATTACTGATTGTGATGTGACAATTTCTTTCATTATTGAATCATACTAATCGTTACTACAGATATCCCAGCTAAATCATTCAACTTTCTTCATCCTTACAACGAGTCCTTGGTAGCATTGTTCTCAGGAGGAGGATGCGCAGGTCCCTCAGCAGTAACATAGCACTTGGTCATACCACCATCAACCGCAAAATCATGCCCATTGACAAAGCTCGACTCATCGCTGGCCAAGAACAAAACAGCCTGTGCCTGCTCAACAGCCTCACCAAACCGCCCCATAGGGAAGTGAACCTCACGTCTATGGCGCTTCTCCTTATCATCACCAAGCCAGTCCTGCAGGAGCGGTGTGTTGAGCGGCGCAGGGCAAAGGTTGTTGAACCTGAAGCCCTCGCGGGCGTGCACCATGGCGAGTTCGCGGGTGAGCGCGAGGACAGCGCCCTTGCTGGCGGTGTATGCGAGCTGGGGAGTCGCGGCGCCGACGAGGGCGACGACGGATGCGGTGTTGATGATGGAGGCCTTTGTCTTCTTGTTGCGGCGCAGCGAGAGGACGGCGTGCTTGCAGCCGAACCAGACGCCCTTGACGTTGATGTTCTGGGTGAGGTCCCAGATGTTCTCGGGGGTGTTGACGGCGTCGTCGTCCTGGGCGTGCATGATGCCGGCGTTGTTGAAGAGGACATCGATGCCGCCCCAGGAGTCGAGGGATTCGATCATGGCCTGGACCTCTGATTCCTTGGAGACGTCGACTTTCTGTTACGAGTCAGTTACTGCTGTTGGTGTGGTTGGGGGGAGGGCGTTGGGACGTACGAGGATCTCGACGCGGGGAGCATCGGGGACGAGCTGCTTGACCTTTGCGGCGGCCTTTTCGAGAGCAGGTTGGGAGATGTCGGACATGAGGATGGAAGCACCCTCCTTGGCGAAGAGAATGGAGGTCTCAAGACCAATGCCACTGCGATGGTCAGTATCGTGTCATGCAGCACAACAAGACAAAGAAAACATACCCGCCAGCGCCAGTGATGACAGCGTTCTTTCCAGAGAGACGACCCATTGTGAATATGTAACGTAAGTTTTGAAGAAAAGACGAAGACTGTTAAGAGACAAGAATCGTTGTATGAAGAAAGAATGGTAAGTGAAGTGGTGGGTATCTTGTGAAAAATATATAGGATTTGATATGGGTGACACAATGAGGGGCAGTCCCTACTTTATTCTTTAAGCTTCCCTCTCCGTCTTATCGAAAGCGTCTGGAAGCTCCGATAAGCTGGAATGGAAAAAGGGCGGTAGAGCTAGAGCAAGGTCGTCTGATTGTCGTGGGCCAGTCATGGGAAAGATCGTGGAGATGGTCATGATTCCGAGAACGGACGAGCGAGGGCGGTTGGCGGTTGCAGTGGGTTTTGGGTAGTGGAGGCTGACATCGCGGCTATTATTATATCAAGGTACAGTTGGTGGGTACAGTATTAGTGGTTTGGAACTGTATGGGTCGTGTCGTGATGGCTGAGGTGAGCTTATCAGTGAGGATATGATGTTGATAGAGATGCATGAGCTTCAAGACGATAACAAATGTGTTGAGTTCAATGCCGTCTTACATTAATTCTAGCTCTATCAGACATTGTTCATCTGATCCAGTCAATTAGACACAGCCATAGCCTATAATCCCAACCTCAACATCACAATCTCAGCTGCCGATGCTCATATAACATTATCACAAATGTCAGATCCAGGGTCTTTTCTCGGTATGTCAGATCTCAAGCTTGCAGCTGTGCCACACAACACCCCTGCCACTAGCGATGTCGGCTCTTCCAAGTTCAGGTCACGAGAACATCAAACTCCGAGGTCAAAACACAGCGGTTCCCTATCTCACTCTCCCAACATATCAACACGCGGTTACCTTGAATCCTCAGGGCGCACAAGGCGCGGTTACACCTCTGGATTGACGGCTGAGAAGATAACTTGAAGAATATCGGAACGCGGCAGTTGGCGAACCGCCCGAGTTATCCGTTCCATATCGTGAAACTAATCTTACCCCATGTTATCTTCCTGTCCCTTGGCCAAAGCTTCAATCTAGATCGCGGGGTTGGTTCACGACACTTTCAGCGCGGCAATGAAGCTATTCCAAACCCTGCACCCACTAAAACCTGCCCAGATAAGCCCCCCGCTTCCCTCGCTCAATCGGTCCTAGCCCTGCATCGCGCACCGAACATCACAGCTCCCCACTCTTTTTCCCGCTCCGTCTACGTCACTGAAGCATTGGCTGTCTTATCGTCGCATTCGTCTTATCGTAGCCGCGCTGCATGCTTCCAAGGCCTGATACAAACCTGTTTATCCTTTACTTGTCTCACTCCCCCTCTTTCTATTAGTACCTAGTAGGTAATCTCAAATACTACTGTATCGCTCTACTATCTTGGCTGCTGTCCTCCCCGCATTCATCATTGTTGATCTTCTTGGACCGCGCGCATCTTTCCAACGGCTTGAACTTGAGCTCAAACTCCACCGTTGTTGAACTGTATAACCCCGAGGAATATCTTTTTTGGTTATAACATAAACATACCGCGCATTTATTCTATCGTTGCAGCTTCATCACCTCTTCACATCATCTAACATCCTTCACCATGGCTTCTCCAGACCCTAAATCCATCACCGTCGACTCCCTCCCCCAGCTCCTCCAAAATGACAACATGGTCAAGCTCGCAGGCGTAGACGTCGACGGCATCCTGCGCGGCAAGCTGGTATCCAAGAAAAAGTTCCTCTCTGTTGCTGAAGCCGGCTTTGGCTTCTGCTCCGTCATTTTTGGCTGGGATATGCACGATCGCACATATATCCGCGAGCTCAAGATCTCAAATGCTGAGAATGGATACCATGATCTTCTCGCTATTCCAGATCTTTCTACCTTTAGGAGAATTCCATGGGAGGATGATGTTCCCCTGTTTTTGGTGGACTTTTTGGATCCTGAAACCAAGAAGCCTATTTGTGCTTGTCCCAGAGGTCTGGTTAAGACGCAGCTTGAGAAGCTCAAGGAGCATGGTTATGGTGCCATGGCAGGCGGTACGTTTTCCTCTTCACTGATAAACTTGAAGTTTTGTACTAACCATCGAAGCTGAATATGAATTCTACCAATTCAAATCCCCCGACCCTTCATCCTCCTCCCCAGCCGCATACCTCCAACAAAACCCCCCTCACCAACTCCCCTCCCTGACTGAAGGAATGTTCGGCTACTCTCTCACCCGCCCCGTCCACAACCAAGAATACTACTACGACGTCTTCAACACATGCGCCAAGTTCTCCTGCGACATCGAGGGCTGGCACACCGAGTCCGGGCCGGGCGTCTTCGAGGCCGCTCTCGAGTTCGGCGAGATCGCGCAGATGGCTGACCGTGCGGCGCTGTTCAAATACGTCGTCAAGAGCGTAAGCACAAAGTACGGCATCACCCCGTGCTTCATGGCCAAGCCGAAACAGGGCCTGCCTGGAAATAGCGGGCATATGCATGTTTCGATCGTTGATAAGGACGGCAAAAATTTGTTTGCGAGGGAGACTAAGGATGAGAATGCCAAGTGGAGTGATATTGAGAACCTTTCTGATATGGGACGTCATTTCCTCGCTGGTCTTCTCGTCGGTCTTCCTGACATCATGCCCCTTCTCGCACCAACCATCAACTCCTACAAGCGCCTCGTCGAGAACTTCTGGGCCCCAGTCACAGTATCATGGGGCTTAGAGCACCGCGCTGCATCAATCCGTCTAATCACACCCAAACCCTCAGCAACACGCTTCGAAGTCCGAGTTCCCGGCGCAGACACAAACCCCCACTTCGTCCTCGCAGCCATTCTCGGCTGTGGATGGCGCGGTGTCGAGAAGAAACTCGAGATTCCTACGCCTCCGCTTGCGATGGGCCAGGATGTCGGTGGTGACGCTGATCCGGGTGAGAGATTGGCCAAGAGTCTTAAGGAGGCTACGGCGCGCTTCATGGAGAAGGGCAGTATTGCACGGGAAGTATTTGGCGATGATTTCGTGGAGCACTTCGGCGGTACAAGAGAGCATGAGGTCCGTCTGTATGACGAGGCCGTAACTGATTGGTACGTACCCACTCTTCGCATCACTATTAGTTAACTTGACTGACAAATCACAGGGAAATGAAGCGATATATCGAGACTGTTTGATTTGGATATCTGGAGTTGTTCTGTTCTGTTCTCTTTTGATCTGTTTTGTACGGGTACATGGGGCGTACTGTGGGCATCTCTGTAGTATGAGATATGCGTGAAGTGAGCGCATACGACGTGAGATGATCAAGTGTCGGGAGTCATCCTGAAAGACGAATATACCTTTGACACCTTGCATCTCCACATCTTCCGGTTGACTTATACCGGCTTGTAACCGCTAAAACGGTAGTTTAGCTCGTAGACCTCTGGTATCCTACTCCATCCGTCATAAATGTCCCCAGTAGCTTAACCTGACTTTAATCACCTCAACAAATCTCTTTCCATAACCCAATCCATACCATGTATGTTCCATGTGGTATCCATTTCCCGTCATGGGATGTTGTCCTCGAGCTCATTGGTTTGCACCATTCCCTATTCTTCATGACATCCGCCCGAGACACAATGCCTTTGACGCCGTGATGACCCAAAAACTCCAATATATGCACATCTCTATGCCTATTCCTTAATAACCTACTTGCCGCTGACTTCCTTTCGAGCCGTGACAAACGTCCTATCAAAATTAGTCACAAACACGCACACCAATATAAAAAAACTTACACTTTCCCCAAACTACGCAGCATGGGATCATTGATCTCTGCTCTAACACGATCAAGCAAAGCCCGCGTCGTTTTCTCCTCCCACCCGCCTAGTCCAAATAATCTCAACGTCCAATTCTCTATACCTGGTCCAGCTCAGATTAGCGTGTGTGACTTGACGTTTCAGAAAAGCGCAAAATGGCACCTACCGCACTCGACCATTTCCGCCAGGGCTTTGCGTTTCCGCTGGGTGACCGGGTCACTTCCCCAATTCTGTATCGGTAGCCAATCTACCCGGACGCGGACGAGATCGGCTCCCAGGGTGTTTAAGATTTCAGGGACTCTGGGTATGGGGTCGCAGTCCATGCCGAGCTTGGCACACATCTCCTCGAATATCTTCTCGTACTCTCTGCAGGCTGCGCCGACTTCGCCTTTTTCTCCTGATTCGGAATCGACGTGCTCGGGGTCCGCGTCGAAGAAATGCGGTCGGATCTCTGCTATTTCGATCTGCCCGCCGGGGTTGAGGTGCTCGTAGGCTTCGGCCAGTAGAGCGTTCCAATCGCGAACACCGCCGCCAGCTAGACTGCGCATGTGTATAAAATCGTATGTACGGTTCGGCCAAGTCTCTGTAGCGTCGGCGATTTCAAAGGTGACGTTCGGAGGGACATCTTCGGGTAGCAATGCGCTGCTCAAGTCGATACCGAGTATGTTGGTCTGCGGATACCGCTTCGCCATGTCGCAAGCCCATATTCCCGTACCAGCACCAACATCCAGTATCTCCATCGGGTCCTCGGCAGTAAACTGATCAAACGGGAGTTTCGAATCAGCAAGGTTACCGTCGAGACACAATTGGTAGAGATCGTGCTGGACCGTCAAGCGATGCGCCTCAGAAGCATCATTCGGCGTGAGAAGCTGGCCAGAGCCGTGGTAGGTATGTCCGTATTCGCGAATCAGGGGAAGCGTGTCTTCGGAAATAGTCGAGTAATTGGACGTCGTATCGCTATAATCGTCATCGTCCTCAGCAGGACTAACATCACCAACCGTAAGGCGATTCATCCTTGGCAGCCCATCGTTTGACTGTGCCATATCGCTCTTTGAAGTCGCAGAAGAAGCAGTGATGGAAGAACGATCCGGATCGTAGCGGGACATTTGATGAGAGAGCGAGCTCGGTGGAAGGATCGACAAGGGGATATTAAAGCGAGATCAAGTTGGGGGCCGTCGGCTGTTTTATGTACTTTTGAAGAGAAGAAAGGAAGATGATATCGTGAGGTTTGTTATTAATATTGGAATATAAAAAAGGTATCGAGAACGCGCAAGGAAATATGCCTTTTACGAACATCCATGGCCAAAAAGAGAGTGGGAAAGAAGAAGAAAAGAAAAGAGAAGAGAAGAGAGAGGGAGAGGGAGAGGGATCAAGGGAGAGGGGATGAGGAGGAGAAAAGAGAAAAGGACGACGAGACGGAATTAAATCAGCTCGAATACGGATCGGATAGGCACAGGAAGTCACAGCACAGCACAACTCCTCACTCAGTTGGGTTGTGTCGTGTTGTGTTGGTTGGAGTCTGAGGAGAAAAGAGTGGTTACCTTACCTCTCTACCTTGCAAAGTGGAGGAGCTTCACAAGGTTAGTAGGTACCTACTTAGGCAGTCTAGAGCTATAACAATGCCCGCTATAGCACAGCTAGTCTAGCCTCGATATCCTACCGAAGCCAGCTGCCACACAATAACACAAGCCATATCGACTCAAACTAGGGACAGAATGCGACTAGAAGCCGTCCAACCTTCCAAATACCTACCTACCTTTGCTTTTTGCCTTTCAGCCATCGCCTTCGCCGTCCCCGTAAGCCTCGATTTAACAATAGAAACACAAACCACACTTTCATCGTCATCATTCCACTACACTACACTACACTTCACTTCGCCCCCTCTTTGTTAAACCCCTCTTTCTGGAGTTAAGAACCGTCGGCGAGTCTGGGGATAACTAAGGTTACCCGATACACATCGGCCAATTTCTTCACCACCAAACCAAAAAAAAAAGACGCGGCCCGTTCTCAAAAGCTAAGCTACCCTAGCTCCCCATTGGCTCAGACCCTTTTCACGGACTAAGATTGAGATGCCGTATCTCAACAGCGGGATTGGATGGTTGATGGGCGCTTAGGGTGAAAGGTATAATCGCGGTCTGCATGCATGAGATGACGCATCCTGATGATATGATTATGACTTGAACCAACAAACTTTCTCAACTCTACATAACCCTTCTGCTAATCTCTTGGTCTTCTCTAAGCGATGTCTGTCTCATTCCCACCATCTTGCCCCCTGACCCTGTACGGCCTCTCTTTTCCGCCCTGTAATCAAGAACAACACCGTGACAGAAATCTCCAAGTAAATTGGTATCAACATGAATAGCCCTGTGATGAGTTTATTCTGGCATCCCGTGCCAAGACCCGGCCTGTCTAGCCTGTCTCCCACGAGGTTGCCTTGCCCGGTAGTTCAATCTCCTCTTCGCCTTGAACTCTCTTTTACGCTCATGTAACCCTGACATGGTCTGTTCCCCCTTGAAGAATATCATTTCTTTTCGCACGTCATGTCACCGGACCCTGTTAGCCCGCTCCCCGGGTGGACCACCAAAGGACAACCTCGTGGCCCCCTTGTCTTGTCAATGTTCTAGACCACGTCAAGGCCAAAAGAAAAACGTGGCTGTCTATTCCAAATATCGATCATCATAAAGAGGTCCTTGTATACATGGGTCATCCAGGTTCGCATCTCGCCTCGTTTGGAGATCATGATGATCAAAAAGCTGAGACAATGGATTTGCCGAAATTGTCATGCATTCCTTTGACTCGGTGGATCTCATGTCATGGTGCGGCACAGCGGAAGCGGTAGCGGAACGGCTCGAGGGAACCATTGCATCTCATGTCATGTTGTGTCTGATAAGGCAATGTATGTATGTATGTATGTATGTATGTATGTATGTGATGTGATTCGATGTACTTCTGAGTTAATGGACGAGACAGTCCCTTGCATTAAGCTATTCCCAGATACAACGTCTCGCCGAGACAGAGATATGCTATTCAATACAACCCGGAAGTACGTATACTTGGCAGCAAGTAATTGCAACTCGCTCCCAAGACTCATCTCGCCACAATAAACTCGATCCTAACCCACTTGATAAAGTCCCAAGAACTGATTGATCCCATTCCACACTAAAAACGATGTCCCAAATAAAAATAAAAAAGAAGCCTCAAAAGATGAAGCAGGAATAGAAGGTTGAAGTGCGACCTGATAGAGAAGAACGCCGATGCTATGACGCAACTGACAAGGCGCAACAAATGAGGGCTCGACCAGACATCCATGATGGTAGTAGACGTGTAGACAATACATGCCACAAGACACACTGTAACAACACATGCTTGTAATGAACAGAGTATGCGGCAACGACACGCTGTAACAAGGCGTGGTGCTGCGAAGACATGCCAATTGGCCTGACAGCCAAGACCATCGTCGTCCGAGACCCAGTTTCCTTCGGATATATGCCTTTATTCCTTTTGTTGCCTGTCTTGAAACTGGCTCGAGAAAAGAGCCCACAAATTGCCGCCCATCCCCAGTATCCTAAATACTTGGTCCGGTCCGGTCCGGTCCCCATTACTTTCAAGGATTCCTTCTCTTGCGTAAAACTCGTGCTATTCATGGGGCCATGCTCAACGTAGGCTCCCTCGTGCTTCCATGTCATATCATAGGCCTTGCTCGTGATACCCATTGTCAGAAACAAGGGCTTCTCTCGTGTCGCTCCGTGATGATCCATATTCCGACCTGGACACCATCGATGATGATGTAGGCAATCGTCTCCAACTCACTTCCCACCAACATAATCATGCACACTAAACAGACTCGCCGCCTTCTTATCCTTGTCCATTAAACAATGCAGAAATAAAAAAGGATTCTCACTAAGCATCGCTAGCCTGCCCAACCGTTCATATGAGTAATCCCCTTCACTCCGGGCCCAGCATCGTGTATATCCCTATATCCTTTGCTCAATTCTGATCGTTGTCTTTCCGTTCCAAATGCTGATTGCATATTTCATCGTCCAGTCCTGATCGCAAACCAGACTTATCGTCGTTCTCAAATGCCGTCATCTAGTAATATCATGGCCGTCGGTTTCTAGTAAATCCGACAATGCCTTGGTCGTGTTCGTGTGGAAAGTCGTCGCACTAGGCAGCTTCCTTCTTCGGCTTGCGTTTATTCCCAACTCTCCCATCCGTGTGCTCGTCGTCGGGATTCCACTCCTCGGGGTGAAAGTTGGGGTTGCAGTAGTGAGCTCGGTTCCAAATACTGTTCTTAAACGTGTTGGTCGTGACTTGATACGTCGATTCTGGAAAACTGTTCTTGCCCTCATCGTAGTCGAGCTGAACAGGACTGAATCGGATGTGGTAGCTTGAAGCGCCTCGCATAGGGAGCGAATTTTGAGGTCCTGGGCCAGGCGCAGGTAGCATCGCTGGACTTGGCGCAATCGCAGAACTTCCCGATATCGAGGCCGGCGGGGTTGGGGGCTGAGGAGATGCCATGATGGATGGTGGCTGCGGTGGCGTTACTCTCGGTGTCGTAGCAGGCAAAGGTTCGGCGAAAGATGACATCCATGGGCTCTGTTGCACAGGCGAGAATTGTTCTGGCGCCGAACTGGCTGGAGGTGGTGCGAGCTGCGCAAGCCCTCCCATTGTGTTACTGAAGCCCGGGATGATAGACAACGCATCAAAGTTCATGGTCGAATACTGCCCGAGATCCGCTTGGTCGGTCGTGATGTTAGTGTTGTGGGTGAAGCCGCTGACACGGAGCACCTGCATGGTGGGTGCTTTGTACAGGATGTCGTAGTGGTCGGGTCGGTAGAGCAGGTAGATGATGGGGCCCAGTGTGCTGGGGTCCTGGGTGTTGAGTTCATCGGGCACACGGTACTGGTTGACCTGAGTACCTGCACTGCGGTCGAGGTAGGCAATCTCAAGTACAAAGTTGGCAGGTCTGAGGAGGACTTCGGCCAAGGCGGACATGCCAAGATGCTCGATCTCGCGATTAGGAATCTCGACGACTTGCCGGCAATGAGCTTCAACACCACCTCCATCCGACACGAAAGGATCGAACTTGGCAGAGTTGAGCTTGAGGTAAGTCCCTGTAAGTAGGCGAAGGTAGTAAATGATGTTACTCGACACGACAGGGTCGTTCCACTTGGCTTGGATCAATGAGTGCGCATACTGAGGGTTGGCGACATTCTGAGCGACTTCGCGCAAAAAGTCAAACATCTCATCTGACCAGTCGTCGTAGAAAGGATAGCCACCAACAGAGCCCAGCAAATGGTTCATGCTCATCAGACGTGCCACCTCGCCCTCGATCTTGGCCTGGTCCCCCGACTCAACGAGCTTCTCGAAGTAGCTGAAGCCAATTGCTATTGGTGAGAAAGTTAGCGCAAGTTCGACATGTCACAAGAGTCGCCGAGACATGGGCAGTAAGCAAGCAGGGTAACGTCAAGCATGCCAAACATGTTTCAAATTAGGCGGAGAGAGTCGCGGGATGAGAAGCGGGGAGTTGTAGACATACCTCGCCATCCACAGTTGCCATCGCCCTGAATGGGGCGGAAGTGTGAGTAGGTTTGGGGGAGAGACTAGATCATGCCATGTTAGCAACAAGTCAAAGAATAAGAATAAATAAAACGTACGATTGTCTTTTCGACATAGACGGGATCGGCTTTGGCATACTCGTGGGTGATGACATCGCTCGAGACTTTGTTCCCTACTGCGAGACCCTGCGAGACCGGAGGTTAGCGACGGACATCGTGAAGCAAGCAAATGACGCGCGAGCTAGAAGCGCCAGGCTAAATGGGTGCGATATACCTCAAGAACAGGTTGATAATCCTCTGCAGCAGCCTGCTGCGCGGCCATATCGTGTTGGCCTTGATCCTCCATCTTGAGCACAACAGGAGGTTGTGATGCGTACTGCGTCTGCTGTAGAATGTCAAGCTGCTGCTGCTGCTGCTGATGATGACGGTGACTTTGCGGCGGTTGCGCTAGAGTTGGCGAGGAAGAAGCTTTAGAGGTGGAGTTTTGTGAAGAGGAATAGGGCGAGGATATGGATGGCGCGGCTGCAGAGGGGGAAGAAGAGAGTTGCTGCTGTCGAGGAATTTGTTGTTGCTGCTGCTGCTGCTGCTGCTGCTGAACAAGGTGCGGTTGCTGTTGCTGTGTTCGCGATTGGAGTGCATGCGACTGGGGAAGTTGTGATGATGGTGCAGGCGGCGGGTTGTTGTAGAAGCCAGCACCTCCACCTCCAGCAGACACGGGAAAGCCAAAGTCCAGGTCTGAAGCTAGGCCATAGGACGCGAAGCTGGAGGAGGCGAAAGGTGTGGGTTGAGGCTGGAACATGGAGAGAGAGGGAGGGAGGGAGAGAAAAGAGAAAGAGAGGAGGAGAGAGGGAAACAATAGAAATAAGAGGGTGAGTGAGCAACCAAGTTAAAATCAAGGCAGAACGTGAGTGATTCAATGCGAGGTGATAAACGGTGTTGGTGGACGAACGAACGAACGAACGAGAGAACGAGGGAAAAGAGGTGCACTTTCAGCTAGAAAATTGAACCTCTCTTACTGGACTTGCTTGTCATTCAAACGGCACACTCTCACACACTCTCTCACTCATATGAGAGACAGACAAGCAGACAAGCAGGCAGATAATCAACTCAACTCATTACACTCAATCAAAAAGAGAGGAACGGGACGGTGGGAGATGGGAACGGGAGGAGATGGATGGCGTTTTTAGGTAGTGCTAAAAGCTAATGGAGAGAGCAGAGCAGAGCAGAGCAGAACAGAACAGAACAGAACAGGGCGTCTACCAGGCCAGGCCAGGCCCCCAGGACCAGGACAGGGAATACCTAGAGCAAGGTACAGTACAGTATCCGTACCTTAGCAACCGGACAAGCCACCCGTCGGATACTGATACATAAAAAACGACCTGAGCCTGCGAAAGTGGTCTGTTCCATCGCCCACGGGTACCATCTCGCGCTGTCAAACGCCCTGTGGATCAGAAGACGGACACCGACGCACGTACCTTATGTTTTTTTCCCTCTTCCCTTTCCCTTTCCCTTTCCCTTTCCCTTCCTCGGTAGCCGTAGGTTACAGCACGGTTCGAAAGAGGCCCTGGGGGGTCACTGCAGGGATTGGGACAGGGGTTCGGGGCCAGGCCAGGCCTGGGCTAGGGATTTAGGGACAATCCACGAGCGGGCGGGTTCGATTAGCCTAGCGTGAGCATTGAGTGAGAGGAGCGACACGTTCTAACGGGAACTGTACCCCTAGCTTAACACTTGGACACTAACTAGTAATAAGTTTTGAGTCTTTTCTGACGAGAGAGAGGGGGCCTTGTTAACACGGCGCGGGGTTTGTAGGTAGGTTTTTTGCGGCACGGAAGAGCAACGGTTTGATGATTGACAGGGAGATTGAAAATCGTCTGAGGGGAAGGGGGAAAAAGAAAAGATAGCTAGCGCTAAGAATTAAATTCCCCGGGAGTCTATTTGGCTTCGATGCAACCTGAGCCTGGATAATGCACGCCGTAGACCAAAAGTATCAACCAGGCTATCAGAGGTTTGGTTTGTTGACAGGTGAGGTGAGGTGAGGGCGGCTAGCAGAGTGTAGTGACGGAAATGGAGTTGCAGCGAGGGTGCCATGGAGGTTGTTAGTGTGGGTGATACAGAGACGAGGCTAGGTACTAACCTAGTAGTTTTCTTGTGCTGCTGTGGGAGGGTTGGACAGCAAAAAGCTAAGCTAAGCTACTTGACTTGACTTGAGCCAAGACTATTGTTGTAAGCACGATCAATGTGATACAAGAGGGGGTAGAATGTCAACCTACCTACGTAAGCTCAAGCTCGTGAGTGTATGTATGTACATATGATCCTTTCACCTGAAGAGGCTAATCCATCCATGGTACGTCAGCTTTTCTCATCATCCAGAACAAGCGGTATGTATCAAAAGTCCTCAATGACCTTCCTGCTAGACGAGAGACCCTCGTGGCAGCACAATACATCAACACGCTGCAGCTGAACCTAGCTGTTATAAAAGATTAGTACGTTACAGTAAACCTGTAGACTCCACCGACAGCAGGGATTGGTGCTTTTCAACAGAACTCCACGACGATCTCCCGCTGACGATGGCCAACCTCTGTCACAAGCAAGTTTTTACGAGGGAAAGCTGAAGAGAAGAATGTGAATGAATTGAAGAGTAAATGCGCCGTTGTGCGGCACGGCATGCGAGTGAAATTTCCCACTGGTCTGGCTATAACCATGACGGCTAGAGCGCTTGTGGTGTAAAAGAACAACGATGGGATGGGTGAGATAGGTCGGTAGCGAGCGTAGTGGAGGTAGAGAATCAAGATCGATTCGTGGTCGGGTGATTTGCTTAGCTTTCAACCGGGCGAGAGACGAGAGTAATCGTAGAGCAACCAATGCTAGAAGCAGATAATGAATCCTTTATGAAAGGCGTTATAGAATTGTTTTGTTTTGTATTGTATCTGCCTTTATGAGAGTGTATATCATTCATTATACGGCCAGGTACGAAAGATGCATGAATGCCCAGACGATGAAAATGTGCCGCATCACTTGGCGTACCTGTCTGTGCCTCATTCTATGGAACCTTCATTTATGGGAACACACTCACCCGGCATCTAATCACATTCATCTCTGCACCATTTTAACTTTTACGATCTTCACATTAATGACCGTTTTCCCCCCTTCCCTTCTCCCCCCGATCTAACTAATCGTGTGGGGAGCAAACGAGCAAGCCAATACAAAGCAACGAGCCAAGGAAGAGCCAAGCCCTGGAACACAATCCCGCTTCTCCGCAGTGAACGAGGGTGAAATATGATACGATGCGATGCGATACTTGCTTTTTGAGCTGTCAAACAAGCATGCGTTGTGAATTACTGTAGTATTTACTGTATATCTCAAACGGCCAGCGGATAGAAAACAGTACACATCGCTTGCGTAGATTGGTCGCGGAAGACGGGCCGTACGCGGAACGGGAACGGGAAGCTTAACGAATGGGCAACAAAAAACTCTCCGTGTTTACGACAGCAAAAAAGTCAATTTTGGGTGCATTTTGTCGAATGAAAGAAGGAATATCTCATGCATGGAACTTGACTACAGAGTTTTCTTCTCGACGGCTTGAAAGAATGTCACTTTCTTTGTCAAAGTGGCGATGAGACTAGCTGTGTGTGCCTGGACCCCTGTTATTTTTGACGAGGTGGCTTTGGTTTTGGCGGGGGGTTGACTGTCGACTAAACGAGAGCAGGCCGCAATGGATATCAATGACCGCTACAGCGAACGAACTACTGCCAGGTCCCTTTGTCTAGTACCGTAGATACCATCTGCCTCTAGTCTACCAAAGGAAAATCAAAACGACAGCCCAGCACTGCAATCAAAACCTCCAAATCTCAAAAAGTGTCTAGCGGTGATGGTGGTGGGTGCGCACGGGCCCAGCAGAAATCGAAGGCTTCGAAGCTATCAATTGGTTCGTGTAACACACACCCCCCAATGACCAATCGTCGGGGCCAAACACACATGATTATGTATGCAGCAAGCAAGCAAGCATGTGCTGGGGGATCTTTGCTTGACCTTCTCGATGTGAACACGGCAATTGAGCTGAAGACGTATATCAAGACACATGTGTATAAGAGCGAGCTACTGAGGAGGTATATCTCGGTAGCATATGAAAATGAGGCATCGGGTGTCGCTTCCGATGCCGTGTGCTAGCTAGCAGAAGCATCGTGACGCTAGCTCAGCGCGATCCAAATAAGCCACGATCTGACAGACTCCATGGACTCAACCCGTGTGTAGTCTAAATCCACATCACATCACATACCGAGTCACATATCACACTCCATCAAATCAAAGACTCTGGATTAGAAAAAGCAATCAACAGAATCCTTCCCGTGTCGTGTCTATTCAACACCGGGTCCACGGTCCTCACCCAGTATCCGCGCCTCTCTCCCGCTTCAAACACTCACTCAGCAATTCAGCAGCAAACAGTAACAACTTCTTCCACCATTCAATGTAAAATGCCTCTCTGCACACCTCGCAAGGTCAACCAGCAACGGCCCGATGATGCATCCCGGCGCCGCTCCGTGCTTCCCATGATATCTATCTCCCTGCTCTGTAACTATGGGGTACGAGCGTTTTTAATCTCGTATTGTATCTCCCTAATCTAGATGTGTCTGCCGTTGAATTCGGAAGGTTGGACACGTTCCGTTCTGCCGCTATCCGCGACGATTCAGCATCATGACCATACCTTTACTGCCATGTGTGTCACTTTACTTCCATGTGTTACACTCCCCTCCCAACGGCAATCTAACGAGAAAAGTCTCGAGAGAAGCAAAACAGTGAAATCTCTGTAGGCCAAGGCATGAAAGATCAGCCGCTTTACCCCTCGCAGCTCCCCAAGTCCCGTCCTGTGTAACCACTCGACGTTGCATCGCTTGTCTGATGATGGTCAGCGATCTTAGCTTGGTCCTTGTTTTTTTTTACCTTGGCCTCTCCTGCATCATAGACTAGGTAGCCTTGAAAGTTAGATCAGCGCAACAGGTTTACCATAAGTCAAGACTAAAAATCAGGTGAGGCGAAGGGTGCCTGCACAACTGCCGAACATCAGGCTGTCGATTACTACTGAGACATCAGGCTACAGGCATCTGACTATGAGGTCGTTGTTTCCATTGAATAACATTATTCGTCACTCGCTTTTGCTACACGAGACATGGGGGGATCAAGTCCGAACACGGCGTCACTTCGGCCCTCGTCCCTTCTGCACTTCTTTCTCGTCATCTCTCTCTGAAACAACTGGTCCGTAGTCGATGCTGCTACCCGTCTGGTGCGACGAGGAATCACCGTTGCCAGTGGCCTCGTACTATGCGAGATCCCGTCGAAGCATCTCCAAACGCGGATGCACCCGCAGGAAAACTGCAACAGCATCTTACTTTCTCGATCCAGCAAAACGACCTGGGGCTCAAACAGGAAACAGTAGCAAAGAGGGTTTCCTGGTCTGCGGATATCCCCGGGGCTACGTTGACAACCATACAGTAAATTCAGTCCATGGCCGTTAGCTCATGCCCATGGCGTTGCAGCTAGCTTCCCCTTCTTCCCACGATGTTGAGCAGCCGCCCTATGCCCTCCCTTACCCAATGGAACGGCCGTCACATCCATTTGCTCATCCGTTGCGGAATGCTCACTGTTGCGGAATCCATCTCCGTCCCTGAAAATAGCACCAAACAGCTCCGAAATAGACGACGTGAGTTCCTGGAGCGCTGCAATGCGCTCGGTGTCTGCGTCAGAGGTGATCTGCAGGAGACCCTCTTGTTGGTTGACTCGACCGTTGATCTTGCCATCGATGATCAAGAACCCGAGAATGTCTTGTACCTCGGGCTCGGAGATCTTGAGCTGCTTGGCGATCCAGGATAGCTTCATGCGTGTGTAAGGTGCGATGAGCTTTACAACGCCCTTGGTTCGCATGTTTCGCGTGACTTCATCGATGTTCTCGGCAATGAATGGATCGTCTAAAACGTCCTGGTTACGCTGCAGGACCTTCTCGTACGCGTGTACATCATCCCGCTGGTAAGCGTCAACCAGATCTGTCATGGCGGAGATTCGCGGGTCTGTCTTGTAGGGCTTGGTCTCCTGCGAGTCGAAAGGGTTGATGTCGGACTTCATCAGCATTGTTGTCAAGAGTAAATACTTGAGAACCTGGATTCGCTGAAGAGAACCTGCTTCGTCGTAGTTTCGGAACGATTCGAAAAAGTCGCTCTGCGCTTCCTTCCAGTTCTCTTCGCTCATATGCATCTTTCCCCCACACTCTCTGATGATGCCCATGATTCTGGGATGTGGTACCGCGGATTTGACTTTGAGAGCTCTTTGATACAGGGCCTTGAGTTGCTTATTGTTCTTGGTCTCTGCAAACATTTGGATCTCAAGTGCGTAAATCTCGAGTGAATATGTGCCCTTGCTAGGGTCGTCGGTACCGTCTTCTTGCTGACAGGTCTTGTGGAGCTCTCGGAGCTTCTTTGCTACAGCGACGTACTCCTTTCGGTCGAGAAGTAACTTTGCCAGCTTAATGTTGGTCTTGAGCCATAGGCGCTCGTTGTTGGTGCTCTGGAAGCTCTGCAGCGTGAGGGAGTAGAATTTCTCCATGCACTCCACCGCCTCTGGGCCATCCGCTCCCTTTTCGATGTAGTCGAGCATGTTGTTGATGGACTTCTCGGAGTAGTTGCGCGTGACGGCCGACTTGACGTAGGTGAGGAGTTCGGCGTAGTGTTCAGCAGCCTATCGTTGTCAGCCATGTCCTTGTTCTTTCAGCAAAAGTCCCTACCTTGTCATATTGACCCAGCTTGAACTCGAGCTTTATGGCCTGCTTGACGCCTTTGAAACCCCATTCTCCTTTCTCTTCTTCGAGTGGCGGAATGCCTAGGAATTCTGTGATCGCATCTTCGGGGTCTGAAAGCTTGAGCTGCTTGGCGTTGTAGTATTTGTTTTCGATATCGACGTCGGCGGTCTCCTCGTCATCGTCTTCTTCGTACTCGAAGTCGTACCTGGGCGTAATTAGCGATGCACTGCGTATGCGCGGCTGATCTTCCGTACTGCTCCTCATCTGACTCCTGCATGAAATCCTCGTCGTCCGACATGGTGAAGCAGGTGTGATCAGCGTTCAAACAATACTACTGCGGGAATGCGATACAAAAAATGTATTGTCAGATCGGAAGCTTGAGAGATGTCAAACAGAAGAATTGTTGAGGTAGGTGAATGATGAATATCTACCTATTGATTAAATGGAAGGTTAACTTCCAGAAGCTGGGGTGGAGCAGGCAACCGCGGGGCCGCTTATCGATAAGGTGGAGCTTCAGTGCAACACCAAGGCTTGCATCACAGAGACACGCATGTGCAATTACTAAATAAAGGACTTGACATTTACTCGCTTCTATATTGCAGCATCTAAGTCTTCTAAATAACAAATGAAACATCAAAAGATCGCACAACTCCAGACTCCCTTCTCATCTTGTGTATCCCACCAATCACTGATCTCAACCCTCGTGAGCTTGAGCAATACCAGAAGCTGGTAGCTTCACTATAAACAACATTACAGCTGTCGCCATAGCCATGAGACTAGTCACCAAAAACGGCAAACCCATCCACTGACCACCCAACTCGAACCCGCGACCCAAGAGCCAGCTCATCGCGGGCGCAGTCAATCCCATGATGACTTCAATAAGAGAGATGGTAGTGTTCAAGGTAGCGATGGTATGCGGCTCAACCAGAGCATTGATCAATGCTCTGCTGAGTGCAACGAAAGAGTTGCCGATGCTGACAGTGATGAGGGAAATAACAAACAGCCATGGGACTGAAGCAAGACCCATCAGCAAACATCCAGCTGCCATGATTGTGATAGCAATGCGCGCAAGGAGCAAATCCCTTGCCACAGGGCGAGATTTGTAACGGCGACTCTTGTTGAGGAAGTCGGACGTCACAGGCAGGATTATGAGGTAGCACACCACTGTTGCCACAATGCCAATTGTCGAGATATATGTTGCCTGTCGAAATGTTAGGGTGCGAAACGTAGTGCTGATGAAGAGACTGACCTTTGACCATGACCAATCGAAGCGTTTGCTCATGTACTGCAACAGCACTCCCGTAAGTACTGTTCGAACGGGGAAGAAGAATGCTATGGCAAGCATGAGCATCATGATGCTCTTTGACGCAAAAAGAAACCGCCAAACATGCTGCATATCATTCTGGATGCTAAACCAAGCCTGCTTCAACACATTATGCTTGCTCAACGAAACACCATGAAGCTGTTGATTCTCATGTTCTTCATTATGTCTCTTATCATCCTTACGTCGAAGATGCATCGTCTCGGGGATGAGAAGAATGCACATCGTTCCAAAGACCATGAAGCCAAAGCCAATCCACATGGATAACCAGGGGTCGAATTGAAGTAGCCATGCGGAAATTGGATTGAAGATTACGTTGAAGATTAGAACAAGAGCGACGAGGCGGAAGAACATGTCTGTTCGTTGGGAGACAGGAACTACGTCGGCGACGATAGTGTAGACCATTGCAACAGCCATTTGACCTCCGCCACCAATGAGGAAGAAGATACTTCCGCCGAGGATAGCCCAGATCGAAAAGATGTTTGGGAACGACACTGGGGAGGGTTGTGAGGATGAGTTACTAAATGAGATAATGTGCACTTACAGACTAGTAGGAGCCAGGCTGTTGAGAGGCAGCATCCAAGCATCGCCAGAAACAAAACAAGTCGTCTTCCATATTTATCAGCAACGATACCATATGGGAACTGTGTCAAGATCGCTAGCACATGTAAGCCAATGTCCTCCACTATGACTCCATTCACTTACGGACTCCCATCTCAAAGGCCTGCTCCCATCCCTGGACCATCGCCAACGTCTTTTGAACAGGACTATCTTTGCAGCGATAATCATCTGTATCGAACGCGCCGATTAAATGGTCGGGATAGTGCTGTCGACAGATGATGTCCTCGGCGATCTTTTTGGTCGGAGGATTCATGATGAACTGGCTCACTTCGACCATGAGAAGAGCTAGCATGCCCATAGCCAAAGCGCGTCGTCTCAACGACCTGGACGGCTCATCATTTTCCTCCGTTCCACTTGGCAGCAAAGGCGACTGCTCCGTCGGTCCCTCATCCCTTTCAATCCCATGATTGCTCTCAACATCCGTATCATAGACGTTATCGTCCGTAAGTTTCGGTTGCGCCGCCATGTTTCACGACGCGTTAACAGTTAGTTTAAGGAGTGAATATCGCGATGCTCAAATCGCAGAGTATTATAACATATTTAAAAAAGAATGACGATAAAGGAAGAGGAAACGCGCCATCACAGGATTCAAGGTTAGGTTTGTCCCTGGAACTTTTGCGACAAATCGTCGCGAGGTAATTGGTCTAGAGCGCAGTGACGTCGTTGCTGACCTGGAGAGATTACTCCGCCTTATCGTGGCGTTGGCCAATGAGATGCTTGGTCCTGAAACGAGTTGGCTTGATTGAGGCGGACACGCAAGCGATACCACGAGGTGCTTACGACTGTCATTTGCAAGCAGAGATTAGATTGGGGTTAAGCTTCTTTGATAGGAAGGTCTGAACTCAATTCGCTGTGCTTACGGCCACGTCTTGTTGAGTGCAAACGTATGCTCTACGATTGCTTACTCTGCGTCCCCAGACTGTCAAGTTGGCAACAAATGCGGGGAGTGTCGGCGGAGGGTGTCCGGGGTCTTGGATCGGCGATCTGGGTCTCGGTCCGGAGCGGATCCCGTGGACACCGTTGACGGGCCCGAACGCGGCCGGTAGCCCACTTGGTTCAGCCTGGTAAGGCACCGTTGAGATCTAGTTTGGGGCAGTCAGTTGCTGTGACGTTTCGGATGCTCCATTCGTATTGAAATGCATGTGTATAGATCTTGATCAGCAGATGGTTGCCTACTGCATATTGGCCCCGATCTCTGGCCCTTGATCTCAAGATCCAACGCAAGTCGCGTAACCAAAAGAACGATGGCGGAATGCCAGCCTTCACAACAGCTGTTCTTTATAACGTGTCTCGCCATCGTGCTGAAGCAGGGGGTCGCAATGCCCTCTTGCGTCGCAGAAAATGATCCTGGTCAGGGCGCTAACCACCCGCAATATCCACCGCCAGGCATTGGATGAAACTATTGCTTCCTCAACTTCACCGGACTTCAGACAGACCCGTTAGCCCGTCAATTAGCCTCGATTCGATGGCTGCTAAAGATTCAGAGTTCCAGACTCAATGCCTCGATCTTATTCGTGGGATCAAAGCTGCGCACGAGAAGCAGAATGATCTTCTCGAGAAACTGGTGACGCTAATGGCTGCTCCGTCAGTTGAACAAAAGACAGCCGAGCAACGCGAAGAGAAATTTCATGAAGAGGTTGTCGAAGCTCTTGCTCAAGGAGATAAAGTCAAGCTCGATGAAGCAGTGTCATCAGATGATCTCAGTGTTGCAGCGCACCAAGATACGAATTTGGGCAATATCCTTCGCTACGCATCCCATTCTTACAAGACAAGGCTCCAACTCTTTGAAACTGGTCAAGATGGTCCGTTCGTCCTCAGCTCTCAACTACCTCCCTCACAGTCTTCGTACACGCTACCTCAGCAGTTAGAGTACATACCGCGGCCTCCAGAAGATGGAGACGTCGTTGTCAATGCCACCCAGTCTTGGAAGTACTGTAGGTATCCTCATTCATCACCAACACCCAAATTGACAAATCCGTTGAACAGGGTATCCACGCAACTGGGAGACACACTCCCCCAGGAATAAACCCATCAGCCCAGTGCCAGACTTCATGCCCCCATGGCAACTCACCCGCGGAGAAAACGAAAAGTGGTATCACATCGACGACATAGACTTGGAGTTTCCCCTAACCGCGCCAGATACACTCTCTCCAGTGGTAGGAACATACTTCGAAGTGCCTTACTCTTTCTTCCCGGGACTGCGGAATCTGAACATGGCTTATACGCGGCGTCAAGGAATCACGTACGGTGGCTCGGGCGACTACTTGATTGAGACTGCACTTACAGAAGCACACCGATACAAGATTCGTCAGTCCCTTGGAGACTTTTATGCTGTACCTCAGGATGGCCGTCTTCCTCTGTCGTTCCATACGAGTGAGCTTCGCATGCAGGTTCGTCATCGACGGACGCGGAATGATATCGATCGCAGTCTTAATAAGTATCTCGAGCCTGCGCGTGAGCTACTTAGTAAACTTCATTGGTTCACTATTATTGACCTCACGGCTCCTGGAGGCTCTCAAAACGCTGTTTATAGTCTACGTGCCAAATCATCTCCTTTCCAGCATGATTCTCCACCATCGCGTGTTGAGCGGCCGCCTTGCTGGGAAATGATCCAACCAGCGCTTCAAAGAGAGGGCAATGGATTTGTGTCATACCCATCAGTCATACAAGACCATCCAACTCAGCCGATCCATCGCGAAGGTAGATGGTGTCGTGTTATTCAGCTTGACGGCCTCGCAAACATCACCGCTGGCCTTATGGAGGAGAAATGCACCCGGTATAACTCCATGACTGTCTGGAAGCTTCTCTTCCAAGACAACCAGCTGAATTCAAGCAAGGGTCGTGCATTTCGCGCTACAATGAATCAGCATCTTCTCTGTAGACCGTCGGCAAAAGACCTACACGGCTCCGAAAACGTCCCGTGGAGGTCCTTTCACATTTCGTGGTATCAGCTCTGTACACAGCCTACTGATGCGGCTATCAAGCAATCTACGTGGAACTATGGACGGCTTTACGGGCAGAAGGGGCCGTATATCAAACAGCAGGCTTTCACTTTGGGGTGTGCCTATCAAGAGCCTCACGGATCTGATAACAAGCGTGATTCTTTTTGGACAGTATTGATCATGAAGCCGTCTGCTACTGATTTCGATCCATATGATGTCCACAAAGTTCCACGTCGAACATACCCGCCCCAGAGCGATGGGCGCCAATATCGCTCAGAAGATATAATTCTCGATGCTATTCGGACGAATTTGCAAAAAGCAGCAAATGCGTGGAGTCGAATGCAAGTAGCCCTTGACGCAATCGTGGATCACGATCCTCTGTTTCTCGACCCCGTTCAGCACGACAACCTCTTATTCGACGACGATACATTCTCGCGATCACGGCAATACTTTTGGATCGTCAGTTGTCTTGAGTCTTTTCTAATTCTTATCGATGATGCTATAGAGGAATGGAGGAGGTTTCGTGTAGACTGGCCTCATATGATTATGGAGATTGATCCAGCGGAAGAGTCGCGAACGGAAGAAACACCGGAGGTTTTGACGCGAAGAGCTGTAGGTGAAATTGAGTCGCAGGTCGATCGGTTGAGGATTATATCTGCTCGTTTCGAGGCAAGTCGTGACAAGACGAAAGCTCTCAGAGAAGGCGTACGTATCCCTCAACTGCTACACTCTCCATACTAACATATCTCGCACAGCTCTTCAGCGCCAGTGGAGTAATCGAGAGTCGTGTCTCTACTCGTCTAGGCGAAAACGTCAAGCTCCTCACATACGTCAGCATCTTCTACCTACCACTAAGTTTCTGCGTTGCTCTCTGGAGTATAAACGAAGACTATCCCCGACCAATGCTAGCGTTGACAGCCGTTCTTGTCGCGGCTGTGACGTTCATCGTCGTAGCGAACATGAGAAACATGGCTTCTGTATGTGCTGTTGCATATCGTGGTGTTAAAAAACGGATTGTGAGACGAATGCGTGGCAGTGAGGATGAGAAATGGGTTAAGAGAGCAACGGCCTTTGAGAGCTATAGACCGGAGAGGATGGAGGTTGAACCGTCGGAGTGGTATATATTATACTTCTTCATGTACTCTATGTTCAGCCAAGTAGGTCCTTGGATGCGGAAGCAGAGACGGAAAGTAGGAAATTTGTTCAGTTCGTCGGAGAGAGAGGCAAGTCCTGTTAAGCAGAGTCCAGCCGTGGGAAGCGAGCCGTGGGCAACTCCAAGTTCGTGGTGAGGCAAAAAATCTGACCTCTATCCCAAGAGACAAGACTTGAGTAAGATTCGAATAGATTTTGAAGATCTTAGTTTAGATAATTCTGGCACCGTGGTTTGGTCAACACCAGAAGTTTTCTTGCTCTGGGGTTAGACCTCTCTCCGCACATGGAGATGTTTCTGGAAAAGGTTTTCCTTTATCCTTGTTTCATATCGTCAACACAGCCTCGAAGGAGTGAGATGCACTGCCATTTCATGGTTCGTTTTCCATGGATCAACTACGATCGACTCATGCGAATCCTCCAGAGCAACCGTGTTTGGTCGAATCTAGACTAGAGTTTTAGGGATTTCTTTAGCTTGCCAAGGGGATGCAATAAAACTTAGGGCATTTATCCTAGGTGACAAAAAGCCTTAGGTAAACTTAGGTAAGTTTAGTGAGGTTTTAGAGGATCTTAGACTAAGACTAAGTATTTTTAGCACCTCCTTAACTTAACGTCAGGAGTCTTCTTACACCCCGAGGCTTGCCATGACATTGCCACTATTGACTTGCCAAGTCAGAATGCCTCGCAGGGCTGATTGTTGGATCGCCATTGTTGAAACATTAGTGCTATTTTTATTTCAGAAGCTTCTGTTTAAGTCTTGGAAGCCTAGGACCTTGATCTTAAGTGATCAAAAGACTTAGCATCTCAATGCAAATAGCGACAACCAAGCCTGACAGGACTGCTATCCCGCTCAGCCCAGCCCCCAAACCCATCCATGATCACCATCACCATCTACCAATCACACAAACCTCACAGCGAGCAAGCTCATCGTCACCGTTACATCTCCTAATCTCAGTTTTCGCCCTACGACCCCCCTGTCAGAATGTAAGCTCGTGGGTCTTCCCGCCTCCTGAGCTTAATTTCCTCGACAAGGAATCTGATCCTCGAGGCCATCGAGCCTATCACACGTAGGTCGTCATCTTGGCATGCTATGGGACAGCGTATATGGTTCAATCACATGTTGGGAGATGTAGTTGTTTGATCCTATGATCCTGCAGGGGAATTGGGAATGCTTAAAAATACTTTGGAAGGAGGATATATAAGGTTGGTAGATCAGCTTGGAATAGTATCTTCATCCAGATATCATCACTCATCATGTCTTCTACCAAGTCCCTCCTCGCTTCTATCCTGGCCATCGCTCCTCTGGCTCTCGCTCAAGATCCATCATGCGATTGCTATGTTACCAAGGGCGATAATCCCCAATACTACACGGGCCACTCATTCTTTGACTTCCGTTCCCTTTCCCAATATGCCGGTGTCCCTCCCCTCATCGACACAATCCAAGGCAACGCCGACGCAGACTTCTCCTCAGATTTCTTCAACTGGGAGTCTGAGTTTGCTCAAACGTGGGGTCCTCAGAAATGGAACAACGGAAACGAAGAGTTCCCCATGCAGAATACTTATAACAATCTGTATATTGAAGAGAATAACGATGTCTCTCCTGCAAGTGATACATGGTTGACTATGAGAACTGCCCGTCACAATGGCTTCCAAACCGCCTCTGAGTTTGAGTCCCTCGAAAAGCATCAATACGTCTCGCTGAGAATGTACGCTCGCACAAAGGGCTCACCCGGCGCCTGCACAGCAATGTTCACCTATCTCAACGGCGGCTCCCTCGCCCTCGTCCAAGAAGCAGACATCGAAGTCCTCACCAAAGACGACCCCACAATCATCCACTACACAAACCAGCCCTCCTACACCGACGAGGGCGGCGAAGTTGAGGGCGCTCATCTAGCAGCCACACTTCCCGATGGTCTCAAGTGGACGGACTGGGCAAAGCACACCATCGATTGGACGCCGGATGCTACGATCTGGAAGGTCAATGATAAAGAGACTTGGCGTAATGCGTTCCAGGTTCCTAGAGATCCGGCGCAGTTGAGCTTTAATGCCTGGAGTAATGGGGATACGTGGACGGGTACTATTCCGGAGGGCGGTGCGGCGTATCAGCAGATTCAGTGGATTGAGGTCTTGCATGGACGCACGGAGGAGGGTGCTTGTAATAGGGTTTGTAGTGTTGACGAGGGTGAGGCTGGAAAAGCCGTGCCTGTCTAGGAGACGGCATGCTTTCTAGTGATGCCATATCAACATTTCCTGTACATACTGGAGTATAATAGAGTATCAGTCCTTCGAGAGACTGGTTCGAATCATAACTTTTCGCTCTATAGTCCATCAGTCGTTGACCATCTACAGCTTGAACCTCTGCGCCAACAAGATCCCCTCCGCCAAAGTCCCAACCCTCGCATCAACCGCACAGCCCTCCTTCTCCCACGTCTCGCACATCCCCCACAAATCCGTCAACTTGACCGTGAAAACCTCAATAAACTCGCCCTCTTCCAACTCCGGCTTCAAGTTTTTATTCGCGGGCAATTCCATATCAACGCTGACATGCACCATCTTCAAGTTCGTGTTGCAAAACCCCGGGTCGTTGAACATCATGGGCGATGTCTCAGTGGCGACGCCGACGTAGCCTGTCTCCTCGCGGAGTTCGCGGACGGCGCACTCTTCGGGTGTCTCGCCCTCGTCGATCAAGCCGGCTGGTACTTCGATTGTCACGGCGTTGATGGGAGGGCGGTATTGTTTTTGGAGGATGAGTTCAGGGCCTGTGGGGAGAGGGAGGATGGCTACTATTCCTACACCGTCGATGTCGGCGGTTTTGGGGCGTGTGAGGCGTTCAGCTGATTCCCAGGTTCTGGATGTCCCTGTTGGATCACGGTATGTGATTCTAATTGTTCATGTCAGAGGTGAGAGGTGAGAAAGGAGGTGAGTGAGCCTACTTGGAGAGTTTGATCCAGCGAGCTTCCTCTTTAGACTGAGTTTGTTAGCGGATGTTGGTAGATTGTGGGAGAAACACTTACGAGGGGCTCGGTGGAAGTCACTTTGGCATTGAAAACAGACATTTTGAGTGAGTTGCAAAAGAATGTTTTGCTTATTTGTTTTGGCTGTGTTCTGAGAAGTCATGATGAGCTGGTTACCGCCCCGCCGAAGTCGGTGAGAAGATGTGCAACGTCACACAAGCTACCCTAAAGCGACTCAAATCATGCGATGAAATCACCAATTACATGTCTATAGCTGGGAATTGAACTTTAAATAATGAATACAATTGTTCTTATTGGTCTTTCCCTGCTATAGAAGTGCTTTAAGTCAGGTTTTCATTGAAAATATATAACCTTATCATCAATCAAAGAGCACTTATATTCCAATTTGTTCTAAACCCGCGACCGCGTTTTCAGCTTCATGCACTGTTGTCTCTTCTGATGCATGTCTCAGTTGAACTCAATGCTTCTGCAGGAGATTAATGGGTATTTATCCTTCTCTAGCCTATAACCACGCTCAATAGCGACAGCCTCAACATATTCTATCTCGCATGCTTCGGAGTCGGTGACAGCCTCACCCAAGTTACGGAGTACTACCAACAACAACCAAGACATCGCAGTATCTCTACAACTTCCCCTCCTCCTTCAGCCCCCTCCAAAGAGCTAGAGCAGCTAAACACTTTGCATCCCTCGCCCCCTCCCTCCAAGCATCCTTCATCGGCACAACCTTCAACGTAATCTTCTCCCCATGCTCCCTCAACCCCGTCAACCGCCCACTCCACTCCTTGATCTTCTCCCTCTCGATCCTCATCTCATAGCTAAATATTGTAATATATTCATCACAACCCCCCGCGCTAGGAAACATACCCCTCGCAATATCTTCACTATCCCCAGCTGTAGCAAGCTCACCCAGGTTCGTAAGCTCTTCTTCTTTTATCGTGACACCAAGCTCTTCCTTGATTTCCTGCGCTGCTGCTCCGGCGAAGCTACCTGCGTCATCGACCATACCCGCTGGTAGTTCCGTGAAGCTCAGACTGCCGGCGGGAACGCGGGGTTGCACTGTGAGGACGACGTAGCGCTCTGAGGATGAGGCGGGTACGTCGGAGGGGATGAGCATGAAGAGCATTGCGACGCTGGGACCGCGGAGGAGTGCGGCTGCTGGGAGTGTTTCGCCCGAGTCGTTGGAGACTGTTGCCGTGAGCTTTATGAAGCCGATGCGTTTGGCGCCGAAAAGATCGTAGGATTGGATGGTAACTGAGCGCAGAGAGTAGGGGTCTTTGTGGAAGGGGTGAGATTCATCAGATTGAAGACGCAATGAGTTTGTGAGTGTGTTGACCCAATTCTGAGAGTATTAGCAATATGATTTGGATATGGGCAAGAAACCTACAGTAAATGGCTTGAATGAAGTGAGCTGCTCTTCTGAAAGTCCATCGGGAAGACTGAGAGGGATGTTGTGGCTCTTGAGCGTGGTAGACATTGTGCGCGTGAAGTGGTGAAGAGCTGGGGTTTGGTGAACGAGACAGGTTGCTGAGAGTAAAAATCTTGGATTTCTGCAGACGTTGGCGATGAGTCTCATTTCTTGTGTATAGTTTGGAGGCAGCTCGGGATTGGCTGAAGTCTGTTGAAGATTAGGCTGAGATGATGTTTGTGGGAGGGTTCAGTGAATGACGTAGAGCGCTGCCCCGCGATCATGACATGAGGCTGAAACACTAAAGAGAGCTGAGCTGAGTATAATTCACATACGAAATGGCAGCCTGTGACTTCACAAAGGGCAGTAATCACGCAGTAGGTATACTCATCGATTCATTTCCCATTAGTAGGGTCGTAAGTGAAGCGAATAATCATAACTCATACTCCCATTCCTCATTCCCAGGTATCCCACCTCTCAAACCGCCCAATAAACATCAATCTTGACCTTCTCAATATGATTAACCCACCCTCCAAACCTCGCCTTTGCCCATATCGTAACAACATCCCCCATCTTCAGATCTCTCACAAACCAGCCATCACCAGTCTCCCCGCCCCTCCCCTCCTCAGCCTTCATCCTGACAGCAGCTTCAGAGTCGGGCTCGGCGTCGTCGTCCCACGCCCACGTAATCACATGGTCTTGCCAGGCGCGGTGCGCTGCCTTGTTGCGAACGATGGTCCACTTCTCTTGGTGGGCGAGAGGATGCGAGTACGCGAAGTTGTCGCTGCCTTTGGGGACGATGGAGGGATAGAGAGGGCGGAGGGCGCAGACGGGGAGAGGTGATGCGACGGAGGATGCTGACTTGAAGCGCACGTCGTACGTGCAGTTTGGATCACCTAGGAAGTCAGCCTTGTGTTTAATAGAGGCATCTCAATACTTACAAGTTTGTTCTGCATCAAACTTCTCTAGGCCAGCTTCAAACCACGTCCATGCCCCGTTATACGTATGTCGATTATCTGGTTCACCACCCCACCCCTGATCCTTACTCCGTATAGTAAAGACCACCTTTCTCACAGGATGGAGTAACTTCGGGGTAGGATAATCAGCCAGCTTGGAAAAATACGAAGCATCATGCTCCGTCTTCAAAGGCGCCGGCTTGGCCTCGTTCAAATCATACGCCAACACTTCAGCAAGCGCTTTCTTGCCTTGAATACCCGTCAGACCCACAGGAAACGATCGAAGCTATAGTTATTAATTAGCCTCGTACTATATTCAGAGGGGCCGACTTACAAGGAATTTGTTTTCAGAGGGGCTTTGGCCGTTGACGCGGAGAGGACTCGAGTGCTCAGCGATGTAATCAACCTCATTACTCGAATGCGCCCAATACTCCGCAAAGTCGAGAATAACATCAACAACACCCGGCGGAAGCTTCTTCCCCTTCGTGAGCATGATCCTAGTGATAACCACATCCACGGGCGTCAGACCCCCAGAAGAAGAAGAGCTCGTCTCATTGTCGTTCTGGCTCCCCAGCGATAGCATAGTTCGCAAGCCTTCGATTACGTTCTGGGGAATGCTCTGCGCCATGATGAGATAGGCGATGATAAAGTAGAAAATGTAGATCAGCATAAATTTAGGAGAGTAGAAAAGAATTTGTAGTGTGCTTGTGAAAGCAGAGACAGGTTTTAATGTATGTATACACGGCGAAAGGTGACGCGTTTGGGGCTTGTTCTAGAGAGGCAGCAGCTTATCACCTACAGCTGCGGCGTTGAATTGACGTCAGAAGATGGTACACGTGCCTGAGGGGTCACAGAAAAAGCGTGATCTGTCTACACTTGAACTTATGATGATGAGTTTAAGTTTAAACTTAGGCTAAGCCTTATGACGACGATCTTCAGATTTACAAAAATTAATATTTACCACGGATGTAGGAGCTATTTCTGTAAGATGTAGGTGGCAACTGGAGATAGTTCCCTCTTACACTGGGCTCTTCTATCTTATCACAACTCCATATCTTATCGCACGTGCAATGGCATCATCCCGACCCGGCGTCCAATCCCGTCCCCCGCGCATCGGAGCTCCATCAATTTCGCCGTCAAAGAATCCTCGATTACAAACATGAAGCTCAACTCTCCCCAAGCGACAATCTTTCCTCCTCACACTCACATCCCACCATGAGGTCCTCAAGATCTCTCGTACGCTCAACGCGCCAACTCCAAACATCCCTCAGACTTGTCCGCCCAACATGTCTCGCCCCGAGGGTCCGAGATCTTCACTCCGCTGCGCCCCGGAAGTCGGGCGTCGCATCTAACCCAGCAATGTCCTTCCCCTGCCTCGACGCCCTAGAATCCCGTTCTGCCCGCTTGACCGACGACGATACCGAGCCCTCGTACACTTCAGGTGCTACGCAGAATTACCTCTGCAAAGAACCCTTCATGCTAGACTGGGGCGGCGTGCTTCCCGAGTTCAACATTGCGTACGAGACGTGGGGTGAGCTCAACGCCGATAAATCGAATGCTATTCTTTTACACACTGGCCTATCCGCTTCGTCGCATGCGCACTCTACAGAGGCGAATACAAAGCCTGGCTGGTGGGAGAAGTTCATTGGACCAGGAGGACCGCTTGATACGAATAAATACCACGTTATCTGTACGAATGTCATCGGCGGCTGCAATGGTTCTACGGGACCGAGTAGTGTCGACCCAGGCAATGGCGAGCGCTATGCAACGCATTTCCCCATCTTGACGATGGACGATATGGTCCGCGCCCAATTCCGTCTTCTCGACCATCTCGGCATCGATAAGCTCTACGCCTCCGTTGGTTCATCAATGGGCGGAATGCAATCTCTCGCCGCAGGCGTTCTCTTCCCCTCGCGCGTAGGCCGCATCGTCTCTATCAGCGGCTGCGCACGCTCTCACCCGTACAGTATCGCCATGCGCCATACGCAGCGCCAAGTCCTCATGATGGATCCAAACTGGAATCGCGGGTTCTACTATGGAAAGGTTCCTCCTCATGCGGGTATGAAGCTTGCACGGGAGATTGCGACGGTTACGTATCGTTCTGGACCGGAGTGGGAGCAGCGCTTTGGTCGTCGTCGGGCAGACTCGAGTAAACCGCCTGCGCTATGTCCTGATTTCCTCATTGAGACATATCTTGACCATGCGGGTGAGAAGTGGTGCTTGAACTATGACCCCAACAGCCTTTTGTATGTCAGCAAGGCTATGGATCTTTTCGATCTGGGTATCGAGCATCAGCGCGCAACTCGTGCTCGTCGTCAAGAACGTGAGAAAAACCTCGCTTCAGGAGAAGCTTCGCCCCTTTCCGCCGACGCATGCAGTCTTACTCTGCCCAACAAACCTTATGAGGAACAACCTGGATCTCACCCGGATCCCTCGGATGCGACTGTTGTGCCAGGCTCAAGACCCCCAGAGGATCTGATTCACGGCCTCGCACCACTACGGGATACCCCCACGCTGGTTATGGGTGTTGCAAGTGACATCCTCTTCCCAGCATGGCAACAGCGCGAGGTAGCTGAAGCAGTCCGTCTAGCTGGAAACAGAAACGTGACGCACGTTGAGTTGAGTGAGGAGATGAGCATGTTTGGCCATGACACATTCCTCCTGGATCTCAAGTACATCGGCAACAACCTGCGCATGTTCCTCGGCTAGCATATGTATTCTATAGCAATGTGAAATCGGCGCCAGTCATGGGTTTACAATGTATAATGCAATGCAATCACGTTTGGAGCACTTGAGGTAGTCATGTAAGATCCAGGCTCAAGGCACTGGATGTTGTATTCCTTAGACATTATCCACTAATCATGTCCCGATGATAATGATGATGACTATATACAAAGAAAAGAAGGGAAAGTAAAAAAGAGCGCAGCTAGGGACGGGGGTATGTGATAGATCTATAAGCGAAAGACGCCATATCCAAAAAAGAAGATGTGATAGAAGAAAATAGGGGAATAAGCGATAGCTAAACAAGAAAAGAAAAAGTCATGAGGGTCTTTTGCCTCTTTTGAAATCCAACTCGCTGAGATATAAAAAGCTGAGATATAAAGACGATTCGCTCTGATATAATCCATTTAGATAAAGCCGGGGTTGAACGCATCTACCACTGGATTAGGAGTTCTGACCCTCGTGGGCTCTGCTCCTGCGGCCAGCGATGGAGGAACAGTGATTGGAGAAGGACGAGGAGGCGCTCTCTTTGCCTCGACGCGAGTCCTGCTGCGGTCTCTGTCCCTCGGGGGCACAAAGTCTGCCATCACAGGTGAGATGAGCGGGCGAGCTGGATTCTGCTCATGCCGCTCGTAGTTCCCATTAGACACCATGTCAAAAGTCCGCGCGAGGTCTTCACTCGAGCTAGAGATTGACTTTTGTAGTGATGGGAAGGATGGAGAGGGTAGACTTGGCGGTGTGTCTGAGATGGGTGAGGAAGCGTATTGTGCAAGACGTGGGCTTAAAGAGTCGTCGGTGGCTTGCGTGGGAGATCGAGCGAATTGTGTGCGGAAAGGAGAGAGAGCAGCTGGGATAGCGGACTTGTGCGCTTCGGCGCGGTCAAAGTCGTTCCAGTTTGGTGTACCGGGTTGGTTCAAAACCTCATCCAGTTGTGAGTCGGCCACGGGTGACTCTGTGCTTCTGGGCGGAGGATACATAGGAGGTTGGCGGCGCTGTTTTCTTGGCTCCAGGCCAAAGGGCCTTTCGGGACTTTGCATCCCGGGAGGTTGAGGCCTGCGACCTCGAGGAAGACCCTTTTGAACAGGGAATTCACCTTCCATGGGGCTTTGTTGGGAGAAAGGGCTGGCTGTTCGTGGTGGCTCGGGAAGACGCTCAGCACGAACAAAACCGCTCTCATCAAAGCCCGGACCGACAGCACTTCGAGGACCGGGTCCAACCATGGGAATGGTAGCAGAGCGATCGACGAGAGGAGCTGGAACGCGGAGGGGTCGGCCAAGGCGTGGTTCCGAGTCAGTTCGGGCACGGAGGCCACGAGGCGGTGGTTCGAGAGGTCGGTTCATGTAACCTGGGCTCGCACTCGCTGCTGTATCGGGAGTGTTACTCCTACTTCTGCTACCAGGGTTCAAGCGAGGTGGTGGTACAGGCGGGAGAGGAGCGGTAGGTGACCGGTACGGCGAAGGGAGTGGTTTCGTTGGTGGAGAAGAGTCCGGAGGTTGATAGGCCTTGTACTGCTTTGTCGGATACTGGGGAGATGGCTGGAGGGTTTGGATGAGTGGTCGGGGAGGAGATCGAGGGAAATGAGGTTCTACGACTGGCGGAGACGGCGATCGACCCGGGAAGTTGGAGAGAATCGGGGATGGTCCTGGAGAGTTCTGCTGCGGAGGTTGAGAAAGAGGCGAAGGTTGAGGAGAGCGCGAGGGTGAGACAGGCCTGATCGCCTGAAGAGGTTCCGAGAGCTGGCCGGGCTGGAGAATCTTGGGAGGCTGTTGAGTCGGCTTTGCCTGTTGGGAAGGCTGAGGTGTCTGTATACGTGGCGTCTCCTCTGCTGCCGCGGATGCCAATGACGATACCAACGACAGAGGGGACATGGCATCACTCGCCGTTCGAGCTCGTGTCAATGCCGTATCAATCATGCTCAGACTTGGACTCGACTGCATGGTTCTCAAAGGGCTAGCAGTTCTCGTTGTTCCCAACACCCTGGGCTTCACGTTGGTGTCCGTAGGGCTCACTCCACCCTCCGTCGAAGTATCCAAGCTCCTACCACTAATACTGCCCTTCCTAACTGTCTCACCAAAGTCGAATCCCGCAAAATTCCCAGCAAGCCCCTCAACCATGGGCTTGTGGTTCTCTCGCGTCTCCATGTCCATGGTAAAGCTCTGCCGTCTAGGCGTATGAAAGGTAAAAGTGTCGCGCTTGGCTGTCACATTGCGAATAACGGGAGGCTGCGGCTCCCAGACATCGTCGCTTCTAGCAACTGATACAGCTGGACTTGGGAGAGACATTGGACCTGCAGTGCTGGGGTTCCGAAGGCTAGGCGCAGTGGGCACGTTCTGACGGCTGCTCGAAGGGCGCGGGTCCGGCGAGAAGGATCGCTCAGCGTTGACGATCGAGGGTGGAGGAGATGGATATCCATTGTTAGCCGTGGGAATAGGGCTTTTGTTTCTGATTTCCTTAATCTCGTTTCCGAGATTGAATTCGAAGGGTTCCGCATGACCCCTCGGTTCATCCTGGGGCGTCGGCGGTATACTGCTGACAGAATCTTTACCGAAGTGAATGTTGAAGGGATTCTCAGGCTCCTTCGTCGAGATGGCCGTCCCAGGACGTGTAGGTGAGCCAGGTCTTGCGGCCGGCGCAACGAGACTCGTGGAACTACCATTGCCGAAGCGTGTGTTGAGCATTACGTCTGACGAGTGAAACCGCGGATTTCCCATTCCTGGTGCGCGCGGTGCTCCAAGATCAACCATGGAGGAGGCACCTCCTGCGCCGTTCATATAAGGGGCTTTCCATTGCGTTGGTGGGTCAAGATGAGAGCTGGAAGTACCAGGGCGAGCGAGATTTGGACGGGAGAAGTTACTCTGTCGGCGGAGGTCTTTGGGGGTTGACGAGACAGGTTCTTCATTGCGGTGTAAATGTTGTATTTGCTTCGAAGCTAGCTTCTTGTCCCTAATAATTGTCGGTCAAGCTGTAAATGGTAGAGTCTAGATAAAGGAGGCTTACTGTGACTTTTTCCTATCGCCTCCAAGCTTGAGGCCAAAGAACGAAACCATCTCGAAGAGAGAAGAAGAAGAGGAGAGATAGAAAAAAGGGACCTGAGGAATTATATCATGAGCATGTGACGGTAAGGACTGAATTGGAACGTAAGTAGTTAGGAACGACGATGATGTAAAGACAGAGACAGAGTCAGGGTCAGAGACAGAGACATTGGCCTGGTCTGTCTCTTCTGTGCATATTTCTAGAAGACGAGACCGTTGCCGAGAAGAACGGGAAGAAGAAGCCTGGGCTGCAGCACTTACCGTAAAGTACCTAAAGGGTCCCCACAGCCCAAAACCTAGGGGGGTAAAGTGCTAAAAGAGCCCAGGCCAGGGGACCAGAGTGGATTAATTTAACAAGACAGCCACTAGCTGAAGGAACATCCAATTTTAGACACCTCAAGGAGCAAATTGTATAGAACAAGAGAGAAAAGGAAAAAAGAATAATAAGCATCTGTTTGAAGAGAATTCTGCTGTTAATCAATTCTCTGCAAGGAATTGAATTGAACCTTAATAGGGGCCCAGCGTTACTCTTTTCATCATAGAGTGGATGCAGAGGATTTAGACGGGTACCTTGGGGTGCTAGTCAGGGCGCTGCAGGTACATAAGGTACATACAAGCTCAGGGGCTCGACGTTTTTTTCTTTCTCTTTTGTCTCTGGCGCCGTTCAGCCGCGGGGTCGCCTTTTCGAATTGTGAATGGACGAGAAAAGGGGAGAACCAAGAATAGAAAAGGAAACTAGTGATCTACTTTAGAGAATGCGTTTGATCATCAAAGATTGTACTACACAGAGAATTGATCTTCTTTTTTGGATCGTCGGTGTTGCACGAGAGGCACAAGCGAGGCTGACATGATTGTAAGTAAAAAGTGAGATATAGAGGTACATGAAGATTCCCGAGACAAGAGGGGAGCTCGGGAGACGGTTTGACAAGGCGAGGAGAGACAAGACAAGACAAGACAAGACTGTCGATCACTTTGGTACGAAATGAAACAGCGTCACATACCCACGCCTTATCATGCAATGCGAATTCTATGGATCAATTTTATAGATTTCGCTTCACTGAATAATTCAGGTACACTCGAAATGCCAATTTTCTAATCAGATAACCAAACCACTGCCGTCCTCCATCTTCATCTACGTATGTCCCTCTAACCCCTGGACGAAAAGGATCTAAAGGCGTCATCTGCACACTCACCTGCGTGGCGCTTCACCGTCAGCTTCAGGACCTTCAGGGGTCTCTGCTTCACAAACAGGGGTGACAAGGGGTGGTCACCAATGAAGATCGTCACTCTTTACAAAATCCTTTTCTTTCTCTTCCAAATGGCAAATGTGAATATCTCGCTTGACATTGTGGATAACATATTATTAGAGTTCATTGGCGTATGAAACGAAACAGGTAATGTTGACGGGTTTAAAACACCCTTGACGGTTCATGCATTCTGTAGCTGTAAGGTAACTCGAGCTGTTTTTGTTTGGTGGATTGTATAATTCGTCCGTGTTATACCCGGAATTTGTGATATCCGGGTGGCAGCTATAGCTGACAGCTCGGTATAACCGCTTATCCACAGCTTCGGGGCATAGCTTCAGTTGCGGGTTGGTGATGTCGCTTAGGAAGGGTGAGAATGCAAGATTGAGAAGATATTCTTTTTTTGACAAGTATCATGATAAACCCATACGCCTGTAAATAAGTGACCGTCCTGAACGCCGTGAATGTGAACCGTCACCTAGCCTCAACTGATCCAACAACCAACAATACACTAAACTTCCCGTCCCCTCCGATGATACACGGAGAACACATCACAACTGCTCCAAAAGCCTCCTTCTCCTCCGATCGATCAACTCCTCCTGCACCTCCTCTAACGTCGGCAAGTCCCACGTAATCCCATCACCACTATCCCCCGGCAGCGGCTCCCACCCCTCCGGCACATCCTTACTCCCCGTCTTGAGCAGATGCTCAACCGCCTGCCTCTCCTTCTCCGCCTCATACGCCAGCATCTCCTCGTCCTCCTCATCAGGCGCATACCCATAGTACGCCGCGTCAACATTCCTCCTCATATCATGCCTCTCCTCGAGCGGCTTCTCATCGCCCTGGTTCTTCGCTGCTTCAAACAACTCCTTCACACCAGGGAGTTCTCTCGCTCTGCCGAAATATTTATAGCCCTTCCCGCTACCGGGTATTTCGCGTCCTTGCTCATCGTAGATCTTGCCCCCGCCGCGCATGTAGTTCGGTCCGCCAAGATTGCGTATCTGAATCTCCCACATGTGCTTCTCGCGCATGAGCTTGTTGATTTCGTCGTTGAGATCGCGGATCTGGTAGTCGCTGAGGATAGGATCCTGGATCCGTGACATCTTGCGCGAGATTTCCTTGAGCACTTGACCGCGCCATTTTTCACAGGCGGGTATCGCTGAGACTTCGGTGATGAGCTTGGGGCGACGTGTGCGGCCGGCGTCGATGATGCCTAGGTCTGCTGCTTGGGCTTCGCGGAAGCGAAACAGCATAGACTGAGCTTTTTCCGAGTTACGAGCCTGGAATCGTTAGCTGATGCTACTAGCAGCAAAAGCGAGGCAGGGACTTACCATTTTGACGGATGCGCGGCGTCAAAGGGATTGAGGTGAGGGTAGCAGCGTAATTGTAGAAGCTGAGTTGGCGATCACGACCCAGCAACGGCGGAAGTTTTCGCAGCCACACCAGCCTTGCTCAAAGTCTCCACTTGTGCCACAGCGCCACAGGTTGAGCTTGTGCACGTCCCCACAGCCTTGCCATTCTTCAACGCGAAGCGCAGCGCGACTTGAACCTCAGCAACGATTTTGGATATCTTGACAGCTGCTGACAGCTGGCGACGGCCGTCAACACCACATCTAACGCTCAATTTCAGCGTAAACCCTCGCGCAGCGAATGCGCAATCACTCCTCACTCTCAACGGCTATAAATAGAGGGCTTCTCTCCCAGTTCTCGCAGCCTTTTCTTCTCTTCATCAGCCTTTCGCATTCTCGACTTGCGATTTGGCTTGAACTTTGCTATACACTTGTTGCTTTCAGCACTTACTGCTTGACTCGACAGCTTCTTTCTTGATTTCCACATTGTGACCTTTCTTTTGTCTTGTTCTTTTCCTATTCCTTTTTCGCACTTCACTTCCTCGACCTTGCCCAACCCTCAACACCATGCCTTCACCTCACCTCTCTCCTCCCCAACCCCGAACTCGCCCTCACCCTCGCCCTCACCCTCGCCCTCGCCCGCCTCCCCCAGTCAAGTGACTCGGTATGTATGTACTAACTTGCATTTCCGCTTTTGCTTTCCCGCCCTTGTTTTCGCGCTTTTTTGGGTGGTCATTTGACCACGGGGGTTTGGGTCTGCTTTTTATTTCCTTTGTCTTTGCTTTTCGTCTTGTTTTCTGGTCCCGGGACATTTGGCCTTGGAGGGGGTCTTTTTGGTTTTTTTGGTTGTTTTTCTTGCGGGCGTTGGCGTTGGAGTTCGGTGTTTTTGCATTTCTTCTTGTCCTGTACTTGGCTTCTGGGGGCTCGTCTGCGGTGATGACAACTGTTCTACACATCCCCCCCCAAGTGGCGATTCACTTCACTTGCTCGGTATGCCCTTCGGGGAAACTGACTTATGTTGCGAACGTGTGCCTCACTCGAGAACAGAAATCTGAGCAGACCTTGAAGTTATTTCCTTTGTCTTTCATCATGTCTTCTTCGCAAGTGCCTAGAGTAGCCGCAATGACGATAATCCCTTTTGCGTGAAGCTGTTCTCTTCCTTTGCGAACCCTCTCCTGGAGGTGTTTGCTGGGACTACAGAGACACTCGTGATTCGCATGATATAGTTTTCAATCGGAGCAGGCTTGGCCTTAGTGAGGAGCCGTATGGGACGGAGGGAATGCTTTGAGATACGAATTTGCTGCCCGGTGATGATCAATCGACCAAAAAGCCAAATTTGCAGGCAACAGCGGCGGGCATCATCTAGGATGTTTGCAGGGCATTTACTTGTCCACTGCCGCGAGTTGTCAGTGAGAACCCAAGAGAGCTAATCTGAGGGAGCCATCACATCTTCGTATCTCGAGCCACATACATTAGGTAGTCTTAAACACTTCAATAGCTGTAGGAAAACAAATGCGCATTCTATATTTCACTTTTGGTCCCACTCTACAATACAACAGATCCACGAACTCTTAATCGTGACGTTGCAGCAAAAAAATACTCGTACATTGTTCCATCCTCTATTGTGTCTTCTTGGCGCCAGCGGCTGGCTTGACAGGCTGGCTGTACATCCACACGATGCAGAATGAGAGGAATCCAACAATAGTAGCTGAGATGCCAGTCAGGCCGGGCCAAGCACCGTTGATCACGTAACTTCGGGGGTACTCGTCGTGAGCCATGTGTCGAACGCTGACAGTTCGCTTCTCCTCAAGGTTTGTCAGGAAGGGTCGCTTGTAGTTGACCATGAAGTTGAAGATGCCGTGCTGGTCGGGAAGAACAAAGTCGGTGCCGTAGACGGTCTCATCCTCACCGACATGAACGGGCTTCAGGGAGATGCGGTGGAAAGGGGACAGCATGGAGAACTCGAGCTGAAGGTGGTCGCCCTCAGGGAGGTGGAAAGGTTGCCAATCGTTCCAGGCGTACTCGGAGACGGAGATGCTGTAGGTCTGTGAATTGTTAGCGAGGTCAATCATGTCAGGAGATGTCTCTACATACAACATCGTTCTTGATGCGGTACAGCTCAGGGTTGGTCTCATTGTCACCCTTGAGGTGGTGCTCAATCTTGTTCACTCGCAAGACACCAAGCTCCTGGAAAGTCCAGCCAGCCAAGTTGGTGATGAACTCCTTGTTAGCAGGGAAGATAGCCTTTCCACCCTGTCGAGTAACCTTGGTGTCAAAAGCCTTATCCTGCAGCATCTCAGCAGCACCAACAACAGTGACACGCGCGGAGTTGCGAGCCTGGAAGACAGAAACAAGGGCAAGTTGCTTTCCAGCAGCGAACAACTCATCGGGCTCGACTGTATCACCCTGCTCCTTGGGGTTGTAGCTATAAGCGGTAGGGGGCGCTCGAAGAACGGGTGTAAGAAGAGGTCCTGAACCAAGAGTGTGGCCAATGGCATGGGGAACAGAGATGAATGCGCCGGGAATCTCGAAGTAATCCTTCAGGCCGGGACGAACGTTGCGAGGAGCGTCGAGGACGAGGGTGTCGTGTGTCTCGGCGGCGGAAACGGCATCGTAGGTGAAGTGGTCGACGACCTTGCCGTTGCGCTCAGCGGGAATGGTAACGTCGAGTTGGTCGAGGACGGAGACGAGAGTAACGGGGACCTTGTGGGTAGCGGACATTGTCAGGAGGATGTTTCCCCCGGCGTTGATGAAGTCGACGATGGCATTGGGGGTCAGATTGGGTCCCAGACCTGCGCCAGTCAGTAAAGCTGTATTCTCAAGGAACAAGACATGACGAACCCTTGATCTTGGTGGGGAGGAAGACAAGATGATCATAAGTCCTCTCACCATACTTGAACAATGTCAAATCATTGCTCTTTGGTGTCTCATACGTGATATCATAACCCCGTTCTATCAATTGTAAGCTTCAACATCTCCCCAATACTCTGCAAAGGCTCATACCAGACAGGTCGCGGAAAAACGTAGTATACGCCTCCTTGTCCTTGGGCGTATCGAGAATAACCAGTAATCGATTACCAGCTGTGCTCACGGCCGAAACCAGCGCCGCGAAGAGAAAGACCACGAGGCTCAAGAGTGACCGCATTGTGTGGTTCTGAGTTGGGGGGGGTTATAGTGTTTGGTGCAAGTTTGGACAGCTTGCGTGTAGAAGCTCTCAGTGGAACCTACGGAGCGTGGTAGCTTGCGTTGGCGTCTTAGGGATACGTAGCCTTCAGTGGGGGAACGGGATGTGAAACTGCGGATGCGCTAGTCCTTTTATGGTACCTAGCGACTCTAGAGCTCTGTAATGGAAGTGAGGAAATAATCCGATGCCCGCGGCTTGGTTTTTCCGAGGATACGATTGGACCGTTGCTCGAGACCATCATCACCACCGAGATTGAAACGACAAACACCACCTCGTCAATTGAGTATGGCCTCGCTCCCAATACGCTATTGTTAGTTGCTATGCTAATTGATATAGGCCATCATGTCTGCCGCTCCTCTCTTCTGGCAAACTCCCCTCAAGTACTGCCGCTGGGCAGCCCGCGAGCGTCCCGCCCTCTTCTGGTCCGTCATCATCGGCGCAGCAGGCCCCGTCGCCATGCCAATTGTTCCTCCGATCCGACACTACTTTGGCGATATCGATGCTCCTCCCGTTCCCGTCACCTATCCCAGTGCGTTCCCCCTCGATATCAATCCCGCAATGCGAGACTAACATGCACAGTCCCCTCTGGTCCCAGGAAACAACTCACCGGGTACGACGACTAAACATCTCGAATTGAAAAGACGAAGGAAATCATCACGGCTCGGAATGGGCATATCTTTGTACAACCTACGGCGTTTCCCGATGCGAGAGGGAGAAGGGATATCATAGAGGAAGAAAGGGACGAGAAGACCCAGCAACAATTGACGCTTCAATTCGATTTTTCTACAATCAATCCATCCACCGGCTGTCTACGTTTCGATACCTATATATGTGTGTGTGAGGATGTGCGCGAGTCGTTGATTTTCTAAACATGCGTATAAACAACAAGCAGGAAACGCCGCAGTGATGTGCAAGGAGCCAAGAAACAGAATATCCTCCTTCTCTTTAATCATACGAGGCTATGTCGGTGGTCATATCGAACTGATGTCCGATTCGGTAGGGAAAGACTCTATCTCTCCCTGCTTAGTAGATTCCATTCGTACTAGAACTGTTAGTTTGAGGATTGTTGAGAGGAGGAGACACTTACAACTCGGCCGTCATCATCTCCTGTGTAGACGCACGTTGGCATTGGACTTATGCACGTTATGCCTGCCTCTGTGTTGGCGCCCTTGTCGTTCTTATAGTCGACATGGTCAAGCTTTCTGAGGAGCTCAAGCGTCCACCGACTGCCCACGATGCTGCGGCGCCAGACGTTGACTCTGCCGCGCTTGTGGCCCGTGAAGATCAAGTAATTGTCAAGCCACTCATTTCCTGCGCCTTCGTAAAAGGCACATGAGTGGATGTAATCGTCTTGTTCAAAACAGACGTTCTGTTCAAGGAGGAGTGTGCCGTTGAGCGTGTACAGTATCACATTGGGCCCAGAGCAAAGAAGAATCTCGCCCGAAATGTCGTTGATACGTGCACATTCAACAGGTCGCACCAACGGCAGCTTTCGAATGAACGACAGTCTGTTCAGATCCCACAAGAATGCTTGTCCATCTGCAGAAACAGTCAAAAGCGTGCTGAACGCTTTGCTGACTGCAATCGTCGTGACAGGCGACTTGTGTCCAAAAAGACTAGACCTCGGCAGTAACTCAACCGGCTTCCCGGGCAGAGTCTGTAGTGCATAAACCGAAACAACACAATCCTCTCCAGCAGTGATCAAGGTTTTGGAGTCGGCAAAACAAGCACAAGAGATCTGGCCGATGTGAAGGTTCTCAAAGAGTCCAGCGGGCTTTGTTGAGTTAGCGACGTGGCCAGA